GTGCAGTTGCCCGACGCATGAATGTTCACCAAAGCACCATTTCACGGCTCTGGGAGAGATATCGCCGGCAGAATGCGGTAGCAGATGCCCCTCGTAGTGGGCGACCTCGAGCGACCACTGCGGCACAGGATCGCTACATCCGGTTACATCACCTGCGTCATCGAACAGCTACGGCGACCAGTACCGCTCGACAAATACCCGGATTGAGGAGGCTTTCTGCACAAACCGTCAGGAACAGGTTGAAAGAGGCTGGTTGCCAGAAGACCTTAGGCCCTGTGCTTCGACAACAACATCGTCGACATCAGTTCAATGGTGACCAACGTTAGGCCTGGAACCTTTGGCGTAGAATCCAGTGATGAATCACGATTTCTATTGGAACGACGCGATGGAAGAATGCGGGTGTACAGACGTCGACAGTGAATCGCCGACGTTGCGTTCCCCAGGTGGACACCAACGTTCAGGCGGGAAGTGTTATGATGTGTGTGTGTGTGTGTGTGTGTGTGTGTGTGTGTGTGTGTGTGTGTGTGTGTGTGTGTGTGTGTGTGTGTGTGTGTGTGTGTGTGTGTGTGTGTGTGTGTGTGTGTGTGTGTGTGTGTGTGTGAGAGACCTGCCGTAGGAGAAGTGATTTGGTGATGATCCAGGGCAACCTGACAGCTCAACGCTACTGTGACGAAATCCTACGCCCACACCTCCTTCCAATCATTGATCGTCAGAGGGAGTTGTTTCAACAGGACAATGCCAGGCCCCACACAGCACGTCACACTAGAGACTTCCTCCAGAACCACAACATCAATGTGCTCCCCTGGCCCTCAAGATCACCGGACCCGATCGAACATCTGTGGGATGCCCTGGACAGACGGGTGCGACGCCGTAACCCTCAGCCCCAGACACTTCAGCAACTCGCACAGGCACTACAGGCAGAGTGGGCTGCGAGTGGACAACACAAGATTCTGAGACTTATTCGTTCGATGCCGAGGCGATGCCGTGCAGTTCTGGATGCCCACGGTGGTCACACGAGGTATTGACTTCAGCGCCACCACACGTCTCCATGTGACACTCAAACTGACTTTCCTCAAGTTGGTGCCAAAGACGGATGAGTCTGCATTCCGAGTGTGCAATTTCGCTCTATTTCATTGACTCATAAAGCCTACAAGATGTTTCAAAATAAACATAAAAATTCAGTTGAAATTCCTGTATGCGTTTCTTTTTTGGGAGAGTATATGTTTTTAATTTATGCTTAGAAATTATGGGAAGGGGAGGTGGGGTAATTGATTTTGTACATGACATGCAGGGGGGTACTTATTTTGTACATACATTTTAGGGGGGGTCATTCACATTGTACATGCTTCTCCATAAAAATCATCATCACCCCCCTGTCATAAATTATGAACGGTCCCTTATATGCCCTCTTTTCTATCGTGTTATTGCGTGTATACACATGCGTTACTTTGCCGAAAATGGACATTGTGTGTTCTTTTTGTCAAAAGGGGATGAGGTTACAAAGACACACCATTTAGTTAATGAAATATAGACATTCGAGCGTGACTTCGTCAATCTACGGAGACATAAGGTGAGGTGAGGTGAGGTGAAATTGGGTTTAACGTCGTGCTTGAGAATATTTCGCTCATATGACGACGTGCATGCGTGTATATGTGTATGTGCGGCTGCTTGTACTAGCCCAAACTTAAGCTGGTTTTATAGTGATAGCCCACTGAGATACCATGCCGCAGTGAAGCATGAATACCCCACTCAGACACATTATACTGACTCCGAGCCGACCAGTCCTTGTTGTACCCATTAATGCCGAGCGCCAGGCAGGGACCAACAAGTACCATATTTTAACGTCTTTTGGTATGACACCTATGTTTGATGTTGTTCTATAGCCAAGAAGTGGTTATACGGGTAGCATAGTTGTGCTTTTGCCCGATGGGTTGTCGTAAACACTGTGAGTTTAATAACAGTTTGATAGGTTTGTGATATATTTATGACGTTCAATTATTCAGTGTATACTTTATTTTTCAATTCCTTACATTGGACACAGTGAATACATTTGGCCCCAGTAATTGTAAAAGTTTCATTTGAACTTTGATCTACATTTTGAGGGGTTATTTTACCGGAGGAAAAAAATCTATTTAAAATCGAGAAGTAAAACAAATTATTTACTTGAACTACTAACCATCTGATGGGCGTGGAACGATAAGCTTATCTGTTTGTCAGGTTAGACAAGACGCCCTTGTGTTCCTCCGTACGCTTTGTTATGTCTGGAGGAGACATCATTTCATGCCAAAGATATGGGGAAATAAGGCGTGACTCTTATGATCTTTGACCCTCATGATGGAAGTACCGGTGCAATGATCCCGTTGACAGATAAACGCACATAGGTCACATGATGGAATTTACAGAACCGCAGAAAGTAGTTTCATTTCATTTAAATCAAATCTGTTTGGTTGTTTTACTTGACACTCTAAATTCCAGCTATATGTGGGCGGTCAGTATATGATCAAGTCTGTCCCAGAAAATCCAGTGATTGACATCATGATCAACGATCTACGTAACTGACCTATGATGAAATGAGTCAACCAAATCAGCAGGCGTGACGGCCCCATACCCTTAGTCGCCTCTAACGACAAGCACTGGTTGAAGATCAATTCTAACCTGGATCTTCATTGGGACAGCATAACACAATTGTACACGTTTGTAGACGACCTACACAACCTGGTCTATCTGCACTATCCCTTTGGCAATGGAAGTACTTCGAAGACAGCACAATATGTACCCGTCCACACAGTTTCAGACACACTACACTTGATTTTGTTATGGATATAGTCCTCTGGCATTTTTACGTCTTTGCATCAAATAACGATAATAAGTTGATCTTGAGGAAAGGGTAGATTGCCAAATTAAAAGCAATAATGCCAGCAGCAGTGTATCTGCGTGTGTCCTGACACCACTGGGCAGTAAGTTCTAACATGGAATGATGTATGATACTGAATCTCGTGGGTACTGCTTCCTTCTTCAGCCTAGCTTTTGGATTTTCATACCCCATGTGTACAAGGCGACATGGGTCTCTTTCATATGCATTCGACTCGAAAGGATCGGAACATTTCTCATGCCGAAATCTGTCTTTTCACTCCTTCCATTGTTCGATGACGCCGTGCCCCCCAAGGCGGCACAATATATCATCGTACCATTTACAAAAACGACTGAAAAAATACGATTTGTATTACTGTAGGGACTGGTCTCGGGCAATATGGCCGACTTTAGTCACATATGACGTCACGAGCGAAAGGGTCACGTGAGTTCCAGCGGAATATGCACAATGGCCGAAGCTCAAAACAGAAGCTGTTTTCGTAATTATAGTATAAATATAAATACTTTTGCATTACAATTGTGGTACATGTGTCTGAGGGCTTTATCTTTCACCTAGCCAGGTACTGAACGTTTCTAGTTATTATCCTTTTAAGTGATACTTAACAAAGAGCTGACAGTTCTAGTATTCCAGCACTTTAACTCCATGTCATTCTATGGGCCCAGTTAATTATTCCTGCAATAACCCAAACTTGTACCGACATTCTCAGTGTGTTTATAAATACACAGGTTAACTGGACTGCCATTTCAACGCTTACCCGTGGACTCACAGCAACGTCAGCGCTTACAGCCAGATAAGGCTAAGCTATGTCAGATAAGGATGTCTTTAGAAGTTATCAGGATCAGTAAACTTTCATATAATTTTCTTAGACGTAGCTAAAACACTTATGATGACTTGAAAGTTTTCTTACTCATTTTAGCAAACTAGATCATGTCAAAAGTCCAGAACGTGAAAGGATATACGTATCAAACAATTCAAAAGTCCAACGTTTTCATAACTGTTTTCAACGTTTTAAGGTTACGACATATAGAAAATAGTCCCTTCAAGGACACTATCGTGTCTGTGTGACGTACACATTGTGTTGAGTGTCATTGTTCTACTGATACTTTAACTAAACACGGATAATACGGAACTCACGCTTTAGCAGAGAAACATTCCACAGTTCCGACGTGCAGAGGTCCGATGCCATTAAACCGTTTTCAATGCATGGTCCAGAATGGTAAAATCACATTCGTTGGGAATATATTCTTTAAATATCAACTCCTCTGGTCTGTAATTTTATAGAATGCACAGATAAGTATTTATATAGTGAAGGGCATTTAATGTGCACAGTCTGTTATAATTAAACCTTTTTTAAAAAAAACCACTTTAGTGTGACAGTTGAAACTTGCCATCAAAGTGTCACGGCTCTTCTCGTGAGAAACCGTACACCCCCGGTAGGCGAAAATCCCCTGTCAGCGTTGGATGTACCTCCTTTAGTTTAATATGGAAGGAAACTTTCTGGGATTATGGGGGCTCGTGGTTTCCTTGACTCTTGTATTATTTCTTCCCGTGGAGGTGACGAGTCACGGAAGGATGATCGAACCCCCCCATGAGATCAAGTATGTGGCGGTTTGGATTCAACACTCCGAGGAATTATGACGACAACGGGCTTAATTGTGGCGGATTTGAGGTGAGATTAAGACCTTTACGAAAAACACGAAACCTATTCAGAAGAGAAGCCCATTTTTGGTTTATTTGGAATCACGCCTGTACTTATATATGACGTGTAAAGTTAGATAAAAGTTGCTTATCGTGACTTTGAGTTCATGACCTTCTGATATGCAAATGGTTGTCGTGTCACAACACGGTACATAAACTTGAGTCATAATCTTCTGACACTGCGCATGCGTGACATGGACCAACAAGGTCTTTTGTATGCCTCTTGAAGAAAATCAGAGATTATCAAAGATATCAGGATTGTGTGTGTATATATGGAGGATTCTGGGGGCGACTGGCATTCTACATTATCGAAATATCATTATCTAAATATAAAACCTTGTTTCCGAAGTAATAAATGTATGTATTTTATATCTTTATAGTATATATGAACGAAACTAATAGCTAAACCAGTTCTGTTGTATGATCACAGAATCAACATCACTTCCAAGATGGCAAGTGCGGAGTGTGCGGTGATCCTTGGCAGGGGCCGAAAAGGAATGAGCCGAATGGCATCTATGCCACAGGAACAATTACGAGGCGGTACCGCACGGGACAAAAAATACCCCTCGTCCTTGACATCACCTCCAACCACAAGGGGTACTTTGAGTTCCGGATCTGCCCTTGGAATAACCCCAGGCTGGCCGTGAACCAGTCGTGTCTGGACGAAAACCCTCTTGTTGTGGAGGGGTCGGTGGTGCGGTACCCCCTCACTCTACAAGGGGCGTTTGTGATGGTCAACTTGACTGGTCAGCTCCCGGACAACCTGACCTGTACCCAGTGTGTCTTGCAGTGGAGGTGGGTTGGAGGTTAGTACGTGTGTGGACATATTGTGTGGACATGTTGTGTGGACATAGTGTGTGGACATGTTGTGTGGACATGTTTCGTGGTCATGATGAAGCTGATCCGAAGGTTTTAAACTGACAGATTCTTTGGCTGAAACTATAATAGAAAGCATTATAGAACGGGGCAGTGGCGTCATTAAATATATATATCAGCCATGGTCAACAAACCTTCGACCATTTTACAAAGCTAAATTTGGTTTTATTGCTATGAATAAACTATTCAGTGAAATATTAACTATGACTAATAAAAAACACCGTGACAGCGTGTAAATACCTAGCCTGGGTTCTACAAACCAGTGGTTAATTAGATGAGCAACGCGTGAACATCTACGTCAGAATTAGTCTTCAGCAACACATGCTTGTCGTTAGAAGCGATCAACCTCAGGTGATCAGGCTTGCTGACTTGGTTAAAGCACGTCACCGTATCCCAATATTGCGCAGAGCGACGCTCGTCATGTCAGTTGGTATTCCTAGCTATATAAGGGACGCTGTTCTGTACAGGATCCATGGACACCCTATGCCCAGTTGTCGCAATTCCCCAAACCGTGACACACCCTGATGCTTTATCTCACACTAAGTTGACATGGCTCAAAATAACAGAACTATTGTTCGACCCCACTCATTCACTCGGCTATAAAATACGATTCGCTATATTTGAGAAATGACATTTCATTACGACATTACGACATATAAGGTAGAACGTCGTCGTAAAAGCCTCGATAAAAAGGAAAGAAAGTCTTCTCCCAACAGACATTTTCACAAAACCCTCATCTGAGGTGGTGGTGGTAGCAGTAGTAGCAGCAGCAGTAGTAGTAGCAGTAGCAGCAGCAGCAGCAGTAGTAGTAGTAGTAGTAGTAGTAGTAGTAGTAGTAGTAGTAGTAGTAGAAACGATGTCACGTTGATATCTGAACATATGTATTAAAAAGAGACGTGTGGAACGGATCAGGAACGAACTGACTAAATTTATACGAGGCTTCTTAAGAAAGTAAATAATATACAGTTATATACCTATAATGAGTAATTCATCCTTATTCATTTTCCATCAGATATGGAGAAACGGAAGAAACGTTTGCAGAAATGTAGTAATTGTAATAGATGCGATTACATTCCCTCTCGAAATCCGCAATGAGAGAATGTAGTACTGGCGTTTGGAGATACCCATAAACCTGTCGGACGTGACACATTAATGACTTGTTTGTGTGACCTAGCGCGCAGCCGTTATGTACAAGGTGGAACCCCTGTCAACCTGTATTGTCACTGATATAACGCTACTTGTGGGTGGTTTGACGGTGATAAAATCAACATATGTATCTGTTTCGAAAAGCAAATACATCACTGCTATGACAAGATATGATGGCATGATCTGACTGGCTGGTATGTTAAGACAAGTTGTCTCGGGTGAATGAAACAGTTACATAATACTTGAACATTACAAAATATGCCAATGTTTAAAAGTATATTCATTCCCGAATTTCATGCTAAAATAATCGCTCTCTATTCTCTAATGGTATTTAGTAAGGCGGGGAGGACATAATTTCAAATTACTATATGACTTATTGTGAAGTGGAGCATAAGAGGGTGCAGCCGTAAACTGGGCAGTCGTTTACCGTGAATGTCCAACTATTGATATTCTGAAGGGAGGGGTCAGTTGTTTGGCTTCTCCATTCAAACATAAAAACAGCGCCAGCACCAGCACCCCTATCCACTAATGATTGTCAAACTGAGGGGACTTATACAAGACCATGTGATATTCATGGCATACAAGTTCACATAATTTGCTGACATAGGTGAGGTCAGAGGAATCTCGTCAGTCTCAGTTCTGTACGCCGAGAGATAGATGGTGTAGTTGAGAGGGAGTATTGTAAGTAAAGATTTGAGTTTAATGTGATCCCCTCGTTCCCCCTCTCACAGTCTATTACGTGTCAGTTTCAATTGTTAGTCCACATACTCTGCTCCTTGCATGTCCAGTACCCCATTGACGATGACCATAGGACCACCAGGAAGTCACTGTCAGTATAGTATCTCTGTGTCTAGTTGCTTGATTCAAGGGGAAATTGAGAACGCTTTTAACGTGCTTCTTAGGACATGCATTCGTCATAAAACGGTTCATGTTCTTATTAGCACGATACGTACATCTGGATGTTATGACAACGATTAAAATGTCATAATGCTTCTTGAATTACTCACAATACAGGAAGAGTGATGTTTGTTTTATCATTGCATTGGCATGTATACATATATTTGTTACCACAGCCTGTCTCGACACTTGCAAATCTTCACACATGGACGTTACAAAAGCCTGTCTCCATATATGCACGTTACGACAGCCCATCTCCGCACATGGATATTACCATAGCCCATCTCCGCACATGGATATTACCATAGCCCATCTCCGCACATGGATATTACCATGGCCCATCTCCGCACATGGATATTACCATAGCCCATCTCCGCACATGGATATTACCATGGCCCATCTCCGCACATGGATATTACCATGGCCCATCTCATCACATGGATATAACCATGGCCCATCTCCGCACATGGGTATTACCATAGCCCATCTCCGCACATGGATATTACCATGGCCCATCTCCGCACATGGATATTACCATAGCCCATCTCATCACATGGATATAACCATGGCCCATCTCATCACATGGATATAACCATGGCCCATCTCATCACATGGATATAACCATGGCCCATCTCCGCACATGGATATTACCATGGCCCATCTCATCACATGGATATAACCATGGCCCATCTCCGCACATGGATATTACCATAGCCCATCTCATCACATGGATATAACCATAGCCCATCTCATCACATGGATATAACCATGGCCCATCTCATCACATGGATATAACCATGGCCCATCTCCGCACATGGATATTACCATGGCCCATCTCATCACATGGATATAACCATAGCCCATCTCCGCACATGGATATTACCATGGCCCATCTCCGCACATGGATATTACCATAGCCCATCTCATCACATGGATATAACCATGGCCCATCTCATCACATGGATATAACCATGGCCCATCTCCACACATACCCGTGAAGGTCCGGGTTAGATTATTGATTTTCGGTAACCCATGTTTGTCGTAGGTGGCGACTAACGGGATCGGGTGGTCAGGCTCGCTGACTTGGTTGACACATGTCATCGGTTCCCAATTGCGTAGATCGATGCTCATGCTGTTGATCACAGGATTGTCTGGTCCAGACTCAATTATTTAAAGACCGTCGCCTTATAGCTGGAATCTTGCTGAGTGCGGCGTAAAACTAAACTCACTCACTCACTCATCTCCACACATGGATATTACCATAACCTGTCTTGACACATACACGTTACCATAACCTGTCTTGACACATACACGTTACCATAACCTGTCTTGACACATACACGTTATCAAAGTATGTCTTGACACATGCAAGTTACCATAGCCCATCTCCACACGAACTACCTGCTGGTTTATATGTGTACTCATGTTTCAGGTCAGCATATGGGCATCAAGGACGGCCGCGAATGTATGGGGTGTGGCAAACAGGAGCAGTGGCACAACTGTGCTGACGTTGCTATTGGATACGACTACCCCCTGTTTGAGATGACCAAGCCTGGGATTATTCAGGAAACCGTGCCGCCACCTACAGTTGCCACCAGTACAACAGTACAACCTATTGTGCCTGGAGGTCAAGAGGTCAAAACGAATGTGGTCAAGGTCAAGGACTTTTCACGTCAATCAGGTGGGCGATTGGGGGCACCAACACCTGTAGAAATCACTGCAGCAGCTTACAACAACATGAACATAGGAATGCCCTCGAGAAAGGTGTCGAGGTTCGAGCCTGAGAAGAAACCCGCTGTTACTATCCCCCCAGACAAAGGACCGTTGATAACGTATTTGGCAGACACCCCTCCTCCGCCACAACCACTGATCATCTCATCGTCAGATCTATTCTTCAAGAAACCGGCCGAGCCAGACGTTGGCGTGAGAGAGGCACAAGTCACAGCTCAACAGGAAGATCCGAATCTTTCCAGGGGGGTCAGTTTTACTTCGTTACTGGAAAGAAATACCGATACCCAAAGCAGTGTGCCCAATGTTTTCGGACATGTCCAAGCAAATGAAGGCACCTCACAGTTCATGAAAGTCTCCCTGCAGTCTCTGACCGGAAACCCTACCAAACACGTGAACTCCTTCACGGGGAAAAGTTTTCCAAGCCGATTTGGTAGCTATCCTTACAGAATGTACAATTCCAGGGATAAAACCCCTTCCGTCCTCATATCAAGTCAGTCGAGTTCCTTAAGATTTTCCCACAAACAACCACCTCCAATATCCACTGTTTCCAGAACAAACCAAAACGGTGCAATACAAACACATGTGCCTGTCGACCTTCCGAAGCCAATAATACCTATAATAACGCGCAAAGAACAACCAAAAGTTCCTTCTACAGAAACACCAATAACAACCTACCCGACAACATCAAGTTCCAGTACAACAATGACAACAACTACTACGATTACTACAACTACAACTACTTCACCAACTACAACAACTACACCTATTTCAACAACGGTTTTGTCGACTTCAACTGGTACATTTTCGACTTCAAGAACAAAAAGAACTACCATCACCGCTACAACTACCACCGCTACAACTACCACCACTACAACTGAAATACCAACAACTGTAAGACCGACAACTGAAATACCGACAACTGAAATACCGACAACAACAACAACAACAACAGCTCAAACAACAACAACTCAAATACCAACAATAACCACTCAAATACCACCTGCAGTGCCTATTACTCAGGGATATATCATTCAAGATACGCCTCTAGTTTCCACATTCGGCCCAAACTTTGTCCCATATGTCACAAACTACTACCCGACAGAACTCTACTACATCACAAACGACATGACTCCCAACGCGCCACCTGGTGAGTATCTAGCTACAACTCCTGATCCTTCATTAACCATGAGTCTATACGCTGCTGATGTCCCCACCGAGTCGCGACCTCCACAACAAGCAGATCCAGCAGCCAGAGCTCCAGACGCCAATGCTTCGGCAACGACATCATCACCAAAAAGTATCAGTAGGTCTGGAGTAAAACCTAACAGTAACCCTAGGTTCGTGCCGTCCAACACAATAGTGGATCCTAATCAACCTTGGATGACACATCAGGACTACCTTGCTTCAATGTCATCACAAACGTCCAATGTCGCCAACACGTTCCACCCTTATCAAATAGCAGTGGTGAACGGCCAAGTCGTAGTTCCACCAGGAATGACACAAGCTCAAGCTCGAGCTCAAGCACAGACGATGTTACAATCACAAGTCCAGAAGCGGCTACAAGCACAAGCAAATGCTCAAACTCGGGCTCAAGTACAAATCCAAACGCAGTCCCATCCACAGCCCATGATGGTGAATCAGCAGAGGATGATGGCCATGCAAGCCTCTGCAATAAACGGCGGACCAGCGAATTTCAACATGATGACTCAGGGTCCAAGATCTTCAACCTTCAACACCCAATCCACGAACAGGAACTACCCTATGTGGGGTCAACAGCTGCTTCCGCGTGAACTGGAGGGTATTCCAGGACCTATGTGTGCCACGGGACAGTCCATCTGCAGAGGAAAGGGGGTATGGGCGAACATGCAGAACTTTGACCGGTACTGTGCCACGCAGTGCATGATGGGACTTTGTCCCTTTAACCTGTGCGTCTGCACATGTCCAGGCGAGGAGTTTATCAGGCAGGATTGTCGGAGCTGGATTGACACAAACCATATGAATAGATGGTGCGAACAGAATTGCTTGGGGGGATTTTGTCCAGCTGAAATCTGTTATTGTAATATCTAGCAATACAGGATGTCTTACACATCTGTCAAGATTTGTTTTATTTTTCAACCAGTTTTGTTTGTAATAATGTCTATGTAAGGGGGTGGAAATATCACATGAACGGCGTAGCAATGCTATCCACACGTACTCTGCATTATTCTATTTCTTTGATTGTGATAATCGATTGATAGCGTAAATAAACACAATATGCAGTATTTTGTATTTATTATATGTCTGTGTTCTCGTAAGTTGCCATAAGTCTATGTTTACACCATGTGTGTTTTTAGCCCATCTTTACGATTTACTACTCGTCTTGCACCAGGTCTGATGAAGTAGCCAATGAACAGTCCAAAGTGTGGTCAACGTGTACAGCGTAGTACACTAATTAAAAAGGTTGGGGATATTCAATAAAATGGGGTCACAACTATTGATCTTCTATATCTAAATAAAGAGACAAATATTTAACTAAGTGTAACATTGACCTCTGACTGAGATTTGCACTAACTTCCAATGGGGGCGTGGTGGGCGAACTGGGCGAACTGTCTAAGGCGCCAGAATAGTGATTCAGCGTGCTTAAGGTGCCGGGATCGAGCCCACCTGTGACCGGGAGTAAAAAAACACATTTTTTTTTAGTCAATTTTGTGTCCAGACTCTTTCAGTGTTGTCACAACTCCTAGTGTACAGTGCACAAACATATGCACTTAGAATAACCCACTAATGATCACATGGTGGCCACATGAATTAGTGCAACGACTATGTGTCCCTAGCTGTGAATGGGTACCTCGTACGGATGGGAAAGCCACATTGACTGCGAGAGTTGTTCATTCCATCCCATTCTTCAGGTCAGCGCCAAGGTCGTTAAGAGTGATCGGTGATCCTTGGTGGTGACGTCCAAGGATATCCCAGACTTGTTCCATGGGCATATGGCAAGGTGATCATGTTTTTCTGCTGGAGATAGGCTACTGAGTAACAATACGAACCATGTGCTCTTGCGTTGTGATTCTGAAACACAAACCAATGTCCATCCTGAATGTTGTCACGGTAGTAGTACTGACCTGTGACTCATCGGTGAATAACATGTAAAGATGATCTGCTAATGACGGTTATCCCACCTCACACTATCACCGAGCCGACCCGAAAATGCTCATTCCGTCTACACCAAACTCTTATGCGAATGTGAAAGAAGTCCAGAGTAAAGCTTGATTCATCCCAGAAAAATGACGTTTGTCCAGCACTGCCGCTCTTGCAGGTATGTGACGGTACGTAAATCGTGTGGGTCCATCTGCGTAGTTGATAACGAATCGTCTGCCCGCTCACTCTAACACCTGTAGCTTTGTGTAGGCAAGTTCATCTCCAGTCTGAGAGGTACTTTGAACATGGGTTCATAACAGTGTCGTTCTGATGAAACGATCTTGTGCGCCAGCTGTGGCCCTTGGTCGACCAGATCGACGTCTGTCATCAAGGTTATATGTCTGTCGTGTCATAATGCTCACATTTCAGCTTCCAGCGGCACGTAGCGTTTGCTGACAGACGCGTTTGAAAGAATAGAACAATTTTCAGTCTGGTTTTTTATCATGCACAGCAACACACAGACAGGTTTAACTGTAAGTTTCGATAAAGTTTACCCCGACCATGTCCAGAAGCCGATCATGAAAAACGCATGCACGAAATAGGCGTGTTTTCATGAAATTCATAACATGTTGTGAATTGAATAATCGCTTAATTATCCATATACAATCATACATGGTTCTCAAATGATATCACATATCTACATATTCGATAGTTTGCAGTAGCGCCACACACATTTGACGCTCTTAAGGACAGTTCATTAATATCTGTGGACTTCAGTCTTCCTGTTACTGCTTCACTTTATTCATTGTCTGTGTATGAATTAGATGCTGGATGAACATTTGGCGTCTACAGGATATTGACATTCTGGAAACTCGTACAAGTTAGCATGTAGTGGCCAATATTTCACGGTCTGTGATAGCAGACTGGAACAGATACCAAGAGCAAGATCAGTTCATCCGAAACCTGGCAAGCTAAACCATACGTCTCAACGCAGTTGAGGCAATACGCCATGAGCTTGACACCAATAACTCCATCGTTAACGATGTTGCCATGAAGAGATCATCCGGCACGGAGCCTTCATAGTGAAGGTTCTGCTGTTCAGGTCCGATATTGTCAGCAGACCTGGTGTTGCTAATATTACTGAGGTTGCTGTTGTCCCAGGTCATCTATGTAGGCGTACCTCTATGTAACCTGGTAACGCCACCCTCTCAAACATCAAATTGTACAGGTTAGCTACAGATCATTCCTCCATATGTTTTGTATCCTCAAGAAATGCCACTAACACACGCACACACTCACACACACACACACACACACACACACACACACACACACACACACTCTCTCTCTCTCTCTCTCTCTCTCTCTCTCTCTCTCTCTCTCTAAGTATGTTGCTGACAGCATAGATATCGACATACTAGTAATTTCAACTCAAGTAATGAGGGAAAATAACACTTAAATTTATTGATTTTAGCAAATTATGTCATCTTTGTGGAGAAACATGAATACTACAACCAGTCTCTTAGATGATCATTCTGATCATGTTTATAGAGGCAAATATGAGAGAATTTAAGAGTATGGTCAAAACTATATATCTATACAAACAAACGCCATTGCTTTGATTTCACATGGACATATGGACAATATGGATAAATACGACTGTATATCCGATGTGGTGATAAGACATACACACTTTCTGAATGACCATAATATCAATCACTGGTTTGTCGGGTCCAGACTAGGTTATCTACCGACCGCTGTGATACAGATGGAATACACCAGCATTTATCAACAAACAATCATGGCCAGTAGCTGAGTATTCACACATTAAATAAATATAACATATATATATTTCCTCGGGTTCAAACCTTTATAATAATCTCAACAGACACAACTCGGGGTTTTGGAGCATTCATAACACGATTAAGAGACACATTTATTGCACTCACTCCTTGTGGTCAGGCAATCCAGTTACTGTCAAATCTTGTTCCATACAAACTAAATAGCTGGGAAAAAAACTGAAAAGCCTGACTGCATTATTCTTATGTATTATAATGTGTAACACATCACGTAAAACTGGGTTAATTAGAAAAAAACATATTCTTGGTCCCCTGTGTCCCATACCGGATAGAGGAGGGTTGTCTTCTCAAAGCAACTGAATACAAAACATTTGCAAGTCGAAACAATACCTGTTCCTCACTGAAACTGACTCGTTTAGCCATCTTTACTTACTTGTATATGCTAGGATAGCGTGGATGTTTACCAAGGGGACAAATGAAGTGTTGAAAGTGAAACAAACTGTGCTACTGACCCCTGTGGCAATTCTTGTGAAAGATGCTTTAAGCAAACATATGTTATATATCTTATATCTGGGATTACAATTCCTCAGTAAAGTACTCAAGAGTGCTTCAGCAAGGGTAGACTTGCCAACTGTCACTTGTCAGAGGGGTTAACAAAGTATGTCAAACTTCCATTTTAGTGGAAGTCGCTGTGGCGGAGTGGGTTATATCACAGACCTCGTTTACTGGCAATTTGGAATCTGAGAGTGTCAGAATGGGACTCATCCAAAACTATGTTCTAGAATCTGTAGAAGGTGTAATCCCAAATGGAACATATATTGCATCTGACCACTTTATAAAAGACATTGTGTACTCATAGCTTTCGGATAACTTCCTAGATTCGCCACTTAACATGGGTTGGTAGAGTAACACATATAAAACGTTAGAAAATAAATCATCTTCCAGTGTCAGTGTTATATATATATACCTGTAGGAGACCTGTAACCTAGACACCAGGTCCCTGCAGACACACCAGCATGATCAGTGTCTGAAGCATGCAGGAAGGGAGACAACTATGTACATCATGTCTGATGACGTCAGACACTGTCAGGTGCAAAACCTTGAGGATGTCTAGGTAACTATGGCTGGAATGTTGCAGAAACAGGTTTTCACACATCTTACCAGTGGTAAAATACATTAGAAGAACAGTCTTGCATCAACCCACATCTATATACAGTAAAGTTAATATATCCCTGAGATCACAAAACACTTTTCAAGTACAGCCATACATTCTCATATCACATTCTCAGGGCGGTGAGGTAGCCTAGTGGTTAAAGCGTTCGCTCGTCATGCTGAAGGCCCGGGTTCCATTCCCCACATGGGTACAATGTGTGCAGCCCATTTCTGGTGTCCAACACCGTGATATTGCTGGAATACTGCTAAAAGCGGCGTAAAACCCAACTAACTCACTCACTCACAATCTCAGAACATGTATTTCTTGCCATTATTACATTACATAAATAGTTCATAATTAGAGAATGATTTTGGTACAACACACACACAATACTCTAATGCATTTATGAAACATCCCAGGACACTCCTCATTTGTTCCACCAGATGAATGTGTTTATAGACAGTGGTTCCAACTTGACATTGGCATATCCCAGGTCAGGGTCGTGTAAGGTCATTGAATACTCCCCATCAAGGCTGAAAACAACACCACATATCTGTAAGTAATGCATCATGACGCTTAGTATCATCATGTCGACTTAGTATCATCATGTCGACTTAAGTCTTATATTGTTTTAGAATTTGATCAATGAGGAAATCTGTGAAAACACCTTATGTCTGTCTGTGATGGTCATTCGTGACTTTACATAGTGTCAAGGAGTACTATGTAGTATTTGATAAGTTACACAACAGCAACAGTGAACTGCAAATTGATGCATTGCCATTTTCATCCTCACAAACTTCATTCAGGTTGTAAATAAATAAGTGGGACTGCCATTATTGTTTTGTTGCTGCAGTCAGCTATATTCCATATCTACTCGTGGTTAAAATGATTAAAGTATTTGCTTTTCACACTGACGGGTGAGTGAGGTTAGTTTTATGTCGTACTCAGCAATATTCCAGCTATTCCACCATATATGGTGGCGGTCTGTAAATAATCAAGTCTGGACTAGAAAATATAGTGATTAACAACATGAACATTGATCTATGCAACTGGGATACGATGTGTCAACCAAGTCAGCAAGCCTGACCACCCGATCCCATTAGTCCCCTTTTACGACAAGCATGGGTTACTGAAGATCAAATCTAACCCGGATCTTCACGGGTTGTCACAGTGAAGACCCAGGTTTGATTCCCCACATGGCTACAATGTGTGAAGGCCATTTCTGGTGTCCCCAACAGTCATATTGCTGGAATGTTGCTAAAAGCAATTTAAAACCATACTCAATCACTGTACCACACAAACCAATGGTCGATAACACGAGCAACAAACACAGCACCCGAGACACAATGCCACATAATATAACAGGCCACATACTGTGACCACCTGCTTCTCATGTTACAACAATCTTACAACAATCACGCGGTCCTCAGGACCTGTCCTGCTTAGGAACCCTAGCAGTGTAAGCATAAACAAAGTAGCTGTCATCCGTATCTTGCACTACAGGGGGATACAACCTTTTGAGAAAGGGGAGGTGCACAGTTCATTTTCACCCATTTTCACGAGACTTTCAATGGTCAGTTGATAAACTTTCAGGACAAAAGCTCACACACACACACACACATGCACGCATGCACACACCTGTGGATTCGCCTATGCACTATCCTTTATTTGTAATGGAAACCCATTGTTATAAGAGATGTTTAATGAGATACGGTGGTAAGGCTAGGTGACTTGATAATGCATGTCATCCAAAGTTACACACATTAATGCTCATGATATCAATCACTGGATTGTCCAGACAGATTATTTATAGGCTACCACCGTACACCCGGGATATTGCTGAATGCAGAGTTAAACAACAAAACAAAGCAGCTGAAACATAGTCTCAATGGCTACCCATAACCAAACTTGTTCCAAAATGAAACCCTGCTGTAAAGTTGTATCCTCACCTGTTGTGAATGACCAGTACCACAGAGTCATCAGGTAAAAGAAATGCCACTGTCTCAATTGTTTCCACGGCGCCACTTTCAGAGAGAGAGATCCTTTTAGCTCCTGGGACAATAAACTTGCTGCAAAGAAACATTGTTAGTTGTTAGTTGTTACACTTAGAATGTGAAACCGGAATGACTTTCACATGTCGTATAGTTTAATCCATGTTTAGCATCTTGGAGAAAATGGATGCTGACTGAAATAGATTTAGTGTCACTGGCAACTTGTAGCCATATCTCAATGGCCTGTGTATTAGTGTTGGGAATTGGTTAAAACTTCATAATTGATGATTGCTTCATTACAACCGATCAATCATCGAAAATAATTGGTTAAGCGTCAATTATGAAATTTTCCTTTTTTTTTTTTTTTTGTTAATGAAAAAAAATACATAATGAAAAAACATGTAGTTCTTTTGGGGTTTTTGGTGGCAAATTTCACATCTTGAAAGGATTACTACTTAACTAGTATGTTAGGAACATAAAGTTCCTTGAGTCTTTAAGATAAATTCAATCATGACTTGGAACAAGCTTGTAGTGGTTATGAAATGTAACTTACAAACCAACCTTGTGAAAATTATAGTTAATGCAAAAAGTGTTCCAGAATTGTTTGTGTTCGATTATGAGAAAACATGATCGATTGCTTGGTCGTTTAGTCACTAGGACCAATCTTCGATTATTTCAATTAATCAGACCACCACTACTGTGTATATTGAAACCAAACAGTCATTCAACCATGGTCACATATTGTTAAGCTGGTCTTCCTTTTAGTAAGCTCTTACTAGAAGTATTTGGTAAAACAAATGTTTGTAATAGTGAGATTCATCCAAAATGAAACCATCCCATATCACTATAACCTAAAAGAAACGTAACATGCTGAAGTAGCTATTAGCTGTTTCAAAGGAAACTTGTACGTTTACTTTACCTGAAATGGCCAAGGGCATAGAACATGGGTTGCTTATAGAATTCCTTGGCTGTAGCATTGACAATGACAGGACTGTCCACAAAGTTTTTGGCCCAGTTGGGTCCCCCCTGTGTGTCCAGTGCTATGTTCCAGTCTGTCCAGCCGGTCACCCAGTGGTTCAGATCCTAGAAGCAGCACAGTTCCAATAAACACCTGACTGATGGACTGTGATCACATCCTGACAATCTTGTAGCAACATTACACACTACTTCCAAACTTACCTCTAACTTGAAATGTTCATAAGATATTTCAAATCACTTGAGTCCACTTACAAAAAGAAGCTACCATGCATGTGAAACTGCATTCTGTGTAATATGAAAATCCAATGGTTTACAAACAGGTTCTTTAGCATAATGGTTACAAGTTGTCACTAGTCACTTACAAGTTACAGCAACATGTAACAAACACACATAACAGCTTTAGTTTCAGAAAATATTGTGTGGGCTAACTTTAACAAGACAGTTCTAGCAAATTTTCATGATGATACAATGAGGTGGAGTTGCTTAAAGGTTGTGGTTGGGAAAATGGATGGAAGAACTGTGATGGAGTATGAGAAAACCTGTATGATGGAGTGAGAGACAACCTGTATGATGGAGTGTGAGACAACCTGTATGATGGAGTGTGAGACAACCTGTATGATCGAGTGAGTGAGACAACCTGTATGATGGAGCGTGTGTACGACTGGGCTCTGCTCCAGCTGCCAAGGCTGACTTTGTCCATCTGGTAGAACATGGAGCCTTCGCACGCCTCTGTGGCCAGGAGGAACAGGTCAGGGAAGTTCTTGTGGGTGTTGTCCAGTGGGAGGGTGGGGAGGAAGGGGTCCTCATACCAGTGTACACCAACACCTGAGATGTACTTCCTGGCAGCCGGGGAGATGAACACCTGGGGAACAGGAGGATGGGAGGTGACGCAGGGACAGCCAGGGAAAATACTTAGCATGTGATAAAGTCAACTCTCTTTATCTTGCAAGCAGACATTTGAAAATAGTGAAACTCTCATAATACAGAAATACTTCTTTATTAGTCTGGATGGCCATATGATCTCAAAGTTCTTGAAATTTTATGGAGATCCTGAGATATTCAAATCTTAAGTTGGATGAAAAACATTACTGTTTACAGTGTAGCTGGAGTCATAGTGATCTTTAATATGTTCAGTCTACTACTTTGAAATATCAAGTTTCAAAATAATGAGAGTTGGCTACAATTCAGTGAAAACAGACTCCTCCTGCAGTTCAGTGAATGCAGGGCCATGTGTAGAAGGGCCTGTGATGAGTGCCTGCAGCAGGGAAGTAGTGCCTACAACTGGCAGGGAGTGCCTGCAGCAGGGAAGTAGTGCCTACAACTGGCAGGGAGGCCTGCAGCAGGGAAGTAGTGCCTACAACTGGCAGGGAGCGCCTGCAGCAGGGAAGTAGTGCCTACAACTGGCAGGGAGTGCCTGCAGCAGGGAAGTAGTGCCTACAACTGGCAGGGAGAGCCTGCAGCAGGGAAGTAGTGCCTACAACTGGCAGGGAGTGCCTGCAGCAAGGAAGTAGTGCCTACAACTGGCAGGGAGCGCCTGCATCAGGGAAGTAGTGCCTACAACTGGCAGGGAGCGCCTGCAGCAAGGAAGTAGTGCCTACAACTGGCAGGGAGAGCCTGCAGCAGGGAAGTAGTGCCTACAATTGGCAGGGAGTGCCTGCAGCTGGGAAGTAGTGCCTACAACTGGCAGGGAGTGCCTGCAGCAGGGAAGTAGTGCCTACAATTGGCAGGGAGTGCCTGCAGCAGGGAAGTAGTGCCTACAACTGGCAGGGAGTGCCTGCAGCAGGGAAGTAGTGCCTACAACTGGCAGGGAGTGCCTGCAGCAGGGAAGTAGTGCCTACAACTGGCAGGGGAGTGCCTGCAGCAGGGGAAGTAGTGCCTACAACTGGCAGGGGAGCGCCTGCAGCAGGGAAGTAGTGCCTACAACTGGCAGGGAGCGCCTGCAGCAGGAAGTAGTGCCTACAACTGGCAGGGAGTGCCTGCAGCAGGGAAGTAGTGCCTACAACTGGCAGGGAGAGCCTGCAGCAGGGAAGTAGTGCCTACAACTGGCAGGGAGTGCCTGCAGCAAGGAAGTAGTGCCTACAACTGGCAGGGGGGGCCTGCATCAGGGGAAGTAGTGCCTACAACTGGCAGGGGGCCTGCAGCAAGGAAGTAGTGCCTACAACTGGCAGGGGAGAGCCTGCAGCAGGGGAAGTAGTGCCTACAATTGGCAGGGAGTGCCTGCAGCTGGGAAGTAGTGCCTACAACTGGCAGGGAGTGCCTGCAGCAGGGAAGTAGTGCCTACAATTGGCAGGGAGTGCCTGCAGCAGGGGAAGTAGTGCCTACAACTGGCAGGGAGAGCCTGCAGCAGGGGAAGTAGTGCCTACAACTGGCAAAGAGGGCCTGCAGCAGGGAAGTAGTGCCTACAACAGGGGAGTGCCTGCAGCAGGGAAGTAGTGCCTACAATTGGCAGGGAGTGCCTGCAGCAGGGGCGTAGTGCCTACAACTGGCAGGGAGTGCCTGCAGCAGGGAAGTAGTGCCTACAATTGGCAGGAAGTAGTGCCTGGCTGGCAGGGGAGGGCCTGCAGCAGGGAAGTAGTGCCTACAACTGGCAGGAGTGCCTGCAGCAGGGGAAGTAGTGCCTACAACTGGCAGGAGAGCCTGCAGCAGGGAAGTAGTGCCTACAACTGGCGGGGAGTGCCTGCAGCAAGGAAGTAGTGCCTACAACTGGCAGGGGAGCGCCTGCAGCAGGGAAGTAGTGCCTACAACTGGCAGGGCTGGCAGGGGAGGGGCCTGCAGCAGGGAAAGTAGTGCCTACAACTGGCAGGGGAGTGCCTGCAGCAGGGAAGTAGTGCCTACAATTGGCAGGGAGTGCCTGCAGCAGGGAAGGAGTGCCTACAGCTGGCAGGAGTGCCTGCAGCTGGGAAGTAGTGCCTACAACTGGCAGAGAGTGCCTGCAGCAGGGAAGTAGTGCCTACAACTGGCAGGGGAGTGCCTGCAGCAGGGAAGTAGTGCCTACAACTGGCAGGGAGTGCCTGCAGCAGGGAAGTAGTGCCTACAATTGGCAGGGAAGTAGTGCCTACAACTGGCAGGGAGGGCCTGCAGCAGGGAAGTAGTGCCTACAACTGGCAGGGAGGGCCTGCAGCAGGGAAGTAGTGCCTACAATTGGCAGGGAGTGCCTGCAGCTGGGAAGTAGTGCCTACAACTGGCAGGGAGTGCCTGCAGCAGGGAAGTAGTGCCTACAATTGGCAGGGAGTGCCTGCAGCAGGGAAGTAGTGCCTACAACTGGCAGGGAGAGCCTGCAGCAGGGAAGTAGTGCCTACAACTGGCAGAGAGGGCCTGCAGCAGGGAAGTAGTGCCTACAACTGGCAGGGAGTGCCTGCAGCAGGGAAGTAGTGCCTACAACTGGCAGGGAGTGCCTGCAGCAGGGAAGTAGTGCAGGGGAAGTAGTGCCTACAACTGGCAGGAGGGGGCCTGCAGCAGGGAAGTAGTGCCTACAACTGGCAGGGAGTGCCTGCAGCAGGGAAGTAGTGCCTACAATTGGCAGGGAGTGTCTGCATCAGGGAAGTAGTGCCTACAAATGGCAGGGAGAGCCTGCAGCAGGGAAGTAGTGCCTACAAATGGCAGGGAGAGCCTGCAGCAGGGAAGTAGTGCCTACAACTGGCAGGGAGTGCCTGCAGCAGGGAAGTAGTGCCTACAACTGGCAGGGAGTGCCTGCAGCAGGGAAGTAGTGCCTACAACTGGCAGGGAGTACCTGCAGCAGGGAAGTAGCCTGTGCAACGGAAGGGGAGTGCCTGCAACTGTGAGGTATGGGGAGGCTGCCTGCGTTGGCTGCAAGGTTCTGTTCACCACCTGGATGATGTCATGGGTGTACTGCTGGGCCCTCTTCCAGCTGCCAAGAGAAACATTCTCATCCCAAGGCAGTTCTCCAGTACAGGCCTCAGTCCCCAAGATAAACTTATCCGGGAACATGTTGTGGGCGATATCAAGGGCATCAGAGGTGGTCACTTGGTCCAGATACCAGTGGACAGCGACCCCAGCTATGTACTGTGCAGCCGAGGAGTCGGACAACACCTGGTGGTCATAAGGGGTAATACCATCGCTGTCAGATCATGTCAGTCTCCAGCACAAGCTTTCAAACACCATTCAGCAAGGTCATTCATGTTTGTATTTTGATAGATGGAACAAATCATGGGGCATACTTTAACAACTCAAAGAGAAATTACCAAATCCATTGTCATTACATTTTTGCATTATTCTCAGTTTATACTTTCTTTCTCAAACAGACACTATCAAGTACTAATTCATGCACCTACTTTCAAGTTCAACAAAATAATATAATATGAAAATCTTCATCATCGGTACCTGCACTGGGTTTAAATTTAAAGTGTTTCTTTCTAGTTTATACATACAGACTTTGTAGAGGTAAATACACAGACATTGTAGAGGTATATACAGAACTACCCTGACAAGTCATGGGTAACTCACCTTCTCCACCCAGTAGGGCAACATGAGCCTGGTGTCATCCAATATCATCAGTTTCACGTCACGGAACCCGTTCTGATGCAGGGCAGGGCCCAGATCCTGGATGATGAAGTCTCTCTGCTGCTCGGGAGTCCAGCCCATGCACTGGAAGAAGAACTTGGTGATCTCCCCATCGGTCGGTTCATTCTGAGCTGTCAGGCCCCACAGGCTGATGTTGTGCTTTTCATACTCTTGAAGAAACCTAGAAGTTGAGTTACCATGTTTGCAGTGAAAAATGTGTTGATATTTCAAAATAATTCAAACTAGTCCATTAATCATAATTCTGCAAAATCATATTGTGCGTAATCCTATGTAATCTTATCAACAAAAGTTGCCAGAAGAATTTAATCTACAGAAAAACTGATGTCCAGTCTACAGTCAAAGACACACCTGATGAAATAGTTTGCCCATGTTTTGTAGTACGGTCCACCTGGCTGACCAATCAGTGACCCCTTCCCAGTCATGTTGTTGTTTGTCTTCATCCAGGCTGGTGCACTCCACGGACTTCCAAATATGGAAATATTTCGCTGACTTATTGCCATTGCTTTCTGTACTATAGGAATCTTAAATAAAAGGAAAGATTGATTTCATTTTTACACCATTTCTAACAACATGGCAGCAATTTAAAAAAAACAAAGTAACCAATAGAGGAACACAAACATCACAACACCTCCATCATGCTGTCTCAGACATACATCAGTGAGTGTATAAAGAATTCAGAAAGGGCTACTAAGAATGCTGCAATCTCAATGAAATTCGATCTTTTACTCTGATACAATACCCCTCTATGCTATCTGGGTGAGTGAGTAGTTTTACGCCGCCTTTAGCAATATTCCAGCAATATCATGGCGGGGAATACAAAAAATGGGCTTCACACATTGTACCTATGCGGGGAATCAAACATGGGTCATCGGCATGACGAGCCCACGCTTTAATCACCAGGCTACCACACCACCCCCTATGTGATCTGGGGAGGCCACAGCAGGTGAACATTCTAATCAGCCCCTCAGTGTTAAGATTTCTAAATTCTTGTTTACAAGTGAGCAAAGTGTAGAGATAGACATGTTATAGGGACTTTACATTCATCTTGCTATTTCTGAACACCATGGCATTTACAACAAAAAATGGGGCGGTGGGGTAGCCTAGTGGTTAAAGCGTTGGCTCGTCATGCCGAAGACCCGGGTTTGAATCCCCACATGGGCACAATGTGTGAAGCCCCTTTCTGGTGTCCCCCGCCGTGATGTTGCTGGAATATTGCTAAAAGCGGCGTAAAACCAAACTCAGTCAGTCAGTCAGTCTACAAAAAAGTGTCAACTAACAAGTATATATATATCTGTTGGTAACGTGATGTCCAAGTCAGAGTGGTAAGGAAATGAAACAGAATTTATTTAGAACTCTGCCATATAATGTACTAAAAACAACCCAGGCATTCTTCATTCTGATTTGGCAGTCGAAGTTCATTTAAGCATCTTGAGGTTGACCATACCTTGTATTTGAGATCCTCAGGGGCAAGTGAGAACTGAGTGAGGTTGAAGTCATTAGGGTGGTCATCATAGGAGTAGGTGTGTGTGGAGAAGTCGCAGCTCGCCATCGGGATACGGCCAGTAGTGTACTCAATACCTGGCAGCAAAACACTGGGTGAGATGTGTCAGCTATCATCGTGCATGGTTATAGGATGTGTCAGTTTCAAGTAGTGTTGGGAATTGGTTTAAATCTCATAATTGATGATTGGTTCATTACATCCGATCAATCATCGAAAATAATTGGTTACCATCATTTATCAAATTTGCCTCGTTATGTTTGGATATGCACAGAAAATATTAAAAAAAACATTTTGTTCTTTCTTTAAAGGATGACTAGTATGTAAGGAACATAAATAATGTCTTTAAGATAAATTCAATCATGACTTGGAACAAGCCAGTAGTGCTTATAAAAGTGATGCAGGTCACAGATGCTAATCCCTTCAGAGAAGTGCATGTGTACTAACAAACAACTGGTCATGACCCATGTGTATTGGAATAAGGGTTATAACCCATACACATTGGCAGACAAAGGGTTATAACCCATGCACATTGCCAGACAAAGGGTAATAACCCATGCACATTGCCAGACAAAGGGCCATAACCCATACATATTGGCAGACAAAGGGTAATAACCCATGCACATTGTCAGACAAAGGGTAATAACCCATACACATTGGCAGACAAAGGGTCATAACCCATGCACATTGCCAGACAAAGGGCCATAACCCATACATATTGGCAGACAAAGGGTAATAACCCATGCACATTGGCAGACAAAGGGTTATAACCCATGCACATTGGCAGACAAAGGGTCATAACCCATACACATTGGCAGACAAAGGGTAATAACCCATGCACATTGCCAGACAAAGGGTTATAACCCATACATATTGGCAGACAAAGGGTAATAACCCATGCACATTGGCAGACAAAGGGTTATAACCCATGCACATTGGCAGACAAAGGGTCATAACCCATACACATTGGCAGACAAAGGGTAATAACCCATACACATTGGACAACCCATACACACAGACAAGGGTAATAACCCATACACATTGGCAGACAAAGGGTAATAACCCATACACATTGGCAGACAAAGGGTAATAACCCATGCACATTGCCAGACAAAGGGTAATACCCCATGCACATTGCCAGACAAAGGGTAATAACCCATGCACATTGCCAGACAAAGGGTAATAACCCATACACATTGCCAGACAAAGGGTAATAACCCATGCACATTGCCAGACAAAGGGTAATAACCCATGCACATTGCCAGACAAAGGGTAATAACCCATGCACATTGCCAGACAAAGGGGTTATAACCCATGCACATTGCCAGACAAAGGGTAATAACCCATGCACATTGCCAGACAAAGGGTAATAACCCATGCACATTGCCAGACAAATAACCCATACATATTGGCAGACAAGGGTAATAACCCATGCACATTGTCAGACAAAGGGTAATAACCCATACACATTGGCAGACAAAGGGTAATAACCCATGCACATTGGCAGACAAAGGGTAATAACCCATACATATTGGCAGACAAGGGTTAACCCATGCAGACAAAGGGTCATAACCCATGCACATTGGCAGACAAAGGGTCATAACCCATACATATTGGCAGACAAAGGGTAATAACCCATGCACATTGCCAGACAAAGGGTTATAACCCATGCATATTGGCAGACACCCAAGGGTCATAACCCATACACATTGGCAGACAAAGGGTAATAACCCATGCACATTGCCAGACAAAGGGTAATAACCCATACACATTGGCAGACAAAGGGTAATAACCCATGCACATTGGCAGACAAAGGGTAATAACCCATACACATTGGCAGACAAAGGGTAATAACCCATGCACATTGCCAGACAAAGGGTAATAACCCATGCACATTGCCAGACAAAGGGTAATAACCCATGCACATTGCCAGACAAAGGGTAATAACCCATGCACATTGGGTAATAACCCATACACATTGGCAGACAAAGGGTAATAACCCATACACATTGCCAGACAAAGGGTAATAACCCATGCACATTGCCAGACAAAGGGTAATAACCCATGCACATTGCCAGACAAAGGGTAATAACCCATGCACATTGCCAGACAAAGGGTAATAACCCATGCACATTGCCAGACAAAGGGTCATAACCCATGCACATTGGCAGACAAAGGGTCATAACCCATACACATTGCACATTGCCAGACAAGGGTCATAACCCATGCATATTGGCAGAGACAAGGGTTATAACCCATGCACATTGCCAGACAAAGGGTCATAACCCCCATTGTCAGACAAGGGTCATAACCCATTATTGGCAGACAAAGGGTCATAACCCATGCACATTGCCAGACAAAGGGTATTAACCCATACAGACAGACAAGGGTCTTAATGCATGTACATTGTCAGACAAGGGTCATAACCCATGCACATTGTCAGACAAGGGTCATAACCCATGCACATTGTCAGACAAAGGGTCATAACCCATGCACATTGGCAGACAAAGGGTCATAACCCATACACATTGGCAGACAAAGGGTCATAACCCATACACATTGGCAGACAAGGGTTATAACCCATGCACATTGCCAGACAAAGGGTTATAACCCATGCACATTGGCAGACAAAGGGTCATAACCCCCATGCAGACAAATTACATTGGCAGACAAAGGGTCATAACCCATACATATTGGCAGACAAAGGGTATAACCCATAACCCATAACCCACACATTGGCAGACAAAGGGTAATAACCCATGCACATTGGCAGACAAAGGGTAATAACCCATGCACATTGGCAGACAAAGGGTTATAACCCATGCACATTGGCAGACAAAGGGTCATAACCCATACACATTGGCAGACAAAGGGTTATAACCCATGCACATTGCCAGACAAAGGGTTATAACCCATGCACATTGGCAGACAAAGGGTCATAACCCATACACATTGGCAGACAAAGGGTCATAACCCATACACATTGGCAGACAAAGGGTAATAACCCATGCACATAGCCAGACAAAGGGCAATACCCCATGCACATTGCCAGACAAAGGGTAATAACCCATACACATTGGCAGACAAAGGGTCATAACCCATACACATTGGCAGACAAAGGGTAATAACCCATGCACACATTGACAAAGGGTAATACCCATGCACAGACAAAGGGTAATAACCCATGCACATTGCCAGACAAAGGGTAATAACCCATACACATTGCCAGACAAAGGGTAATAACCCATGCACATTGCCAGACAAAGGGTAATAACCCATACACATTGCCAGACAAAGGGTAATACCCCATGCACATTGCCAGACAAAGGGTTATAACCCATGCACATTGCCAGACAAAGGGTAATAACCCATGCACATTGCCAGACAAGGGTCATAACCCATGTATTTTGGCAGACAAAGGGTAATAACCCATGTACATTGCCAGACAAAGGGTCTTAACCCATACATATTGGCAGACAAGGGTCTTAATGCATGTACATTGTCAGACAAGGGTAATAACCCATGCACATTGTCAGACAAGGGTCATAACCCATGCACATTGTCAGACAAAGGGTAAAAACCCATGCACATTGTCAGACAAAGGGTCATAACCCATGCATATTGCCAGACAAAGGGTCTTAACCCATGCACATTGTCAGTCCAAGGGTCATAACCCATCAATATTGTCAGTCCAAGCGTCATAACCCATCAATATTGGCAGTCCAAGGGTCATAACCGATCTATATTGTCAGACACCAGGGTCATAACCCATCAATATTGTCAGTCCAAGGGTCATAACCCATCAATATTGGCAGTCCAAGGGTCATAACCCATCTATATTGTCAGACACAAGGGTCATAACCCATCAATATTGGCAGTCCAAGGGTCATAACCCATCTATATTGTCAGACACAAGGGTCATAACCCATAAATATTGACAGTCCAAGGGTCATAACCCATCTATATTGTCAGACACAAGGGTCATAACCCATCAATTTTGTCAGACACAAGGGTCATAACCCATCTATATTGGCAGTCCAACGGTCATAACCCATCAATATTGTCAGACACAAGGGTCATAACCCATCTATATTGGCAGTCCAAGGGTCATAACCCATCAATATTCTCAGTCCAAGGGTCATAACACATCAATATTGCCAGACAAAGGTCCATAACCCATCTATATTGCCAGACACAAGGGTCATAACCCATCTATATTGCCAGTCCAAGGGTCATAACCCATCTATATTGGCAGTGCAAGGGTCATAACCCATCTATATTGGCAGTCCAAGGGTCATAACCCATCACTATTGTAAGTCCAAGGGTCATAACCCATCAATATTGTCAGTCCAAGGGTCATAACCCATAAAAATTGTCAGTCCAAGGGTCATAACCCATCAATATTGTCAGTCCAAGGGTCATAACCCATCAATCTTGTCAGTCCACGGGTCATAACCCATGTATATTGTCAGTCCAAGGGTCATAACCCATAAAAAATGTCAGTCCAAGGGTCATAACCCATCTACATTGGCAGTCCAAGGGTCATAACCCATCAATATTGTCAATCCAAGGGTTATAACCCATCAATATTGTCAGACACAAGGGTCATAACCCATCAATATTGTCAGTCCAAGGGTCATAACCCATCAATATTGTCAGTCCAAGGGTCATAACCCATCTATATTGGCAGTCCAAGGGTCATAACCCATCAATATTGGCAGTCCAAGGGTCATAACCCATCTACATTGGCAGTCCAAGGGTCATAACCCATCTACATTGTCAGTCCAAGGGTCATAACCCATCACTATTGTCAGTCCAAGGGTCATAACCCATCTATATTGGCAGTCCAAGGGTCATAACCCATCTACATTGACAGTCCAAGGGTCATAACCCATCAATATTGGTAGTCCAAGGGTCATAACTCATCTACATTGGCAGTCCAAGGGTCATAACCCATCTATATTGGCAGTTCAACGGTCATAACCCATCAATATTGTCAGTCCAAGGGTCATAACCCATCTATATTGTCAGACACAAGGGTCATAACCTATCAATATTGCCAGACAAAGGGTTTTAACAAATGTACATTGCCAGATATAAGGGTCATAAGGCCAAATGAAAAAAATGTTGTGGTTCTGATTACAGCTCTTTAAAATTTAGGGTAGGTAGGTCAACAATTTTTTTTCCATTATTGTTTTAGAAGTAAAGTTCAAACTAACACATTTATCAATGTGTAATCATTTTTTTAATCAAACTTGACTTTCTCTATCAGAATGACCGATGTAAGTCGGTGCCAGGAAAAAACAATGATATCTGAATGCTTATTTTATTCATACCGCTTAAGAAAAATAGGGTCAGCACCAGAATTCAAGGGTCGGTCGGGTAGTCGGAACCACAACATTTTCTTTGTAAGGCCTAACTAATGATGGCATGACACAACTGAAACATGCTACGCTGTAAAATGTGCAAAACTCCAAGGTAATTAAAACTTTCCTAGTTCATGTTAAATTAGTTACATCAAATCCCAGTTTAGAACGTTGGCCATCTGTGCCCCTCTCAGCATGATTAGGACAGACCTGACTACAAGATTAAAACATGAGTTTACTCCTGTACATAACAAAACACATTCTGTTTCTGTGTTCTGGGTAATATGAGACCATTAACACCAGATGAGGAAATATTTCCACAGATGTACATCACACATGTTTTTTCCACTTACATTGGAGGCACATGTAGTACAGTTGGCTAATGTGCTGCAAGCCCCTGTGTAGAGTTGTGCCTTTTAAGGCTGCCAGAAACCGATGATTGTGGCTTCCAAAAATGACCAAAGTTGTAAATGTTCAAGATCTCCATCACCTTTGGCTTTTGTTTCACATCAAGCTCACATACACTGGCAGCATCAAACCAAACTCTCCCACACTCACTCACTACACTTAGTGACAGATTACTACAAATAATAACAAAGCATAATTTGCCTCATACCTGTTGGAGCGAAGTAGGATGAGATGAGGTTGTCCTGAGCCTTGGGAGGCAGAGAGAGGATGTTGATACCAGCAGCATCTGTGAAGGCTCCTCCGAACCCAATCACAGTCTGGAAAGTCTCTGTGCGGTTGATTGTGTATGTATCTGCAAGAAAATAAAAGATATCTGCTTAACTCAAAAATAAAAGAAAGATAATTTTAGATTTTCACCAAAATTGCCCATGTGGGGATTAACTGACGAGCCAGCGCTTTAACCATTAGGCTACCCAATCAAAAAAGAAATAAACTATTTGAGACAATTAAAAGTATGGCAAATGGCCTGTCTTTCCCTCCTGGTTTATGTGTTTTTGTGTGCAAAACTTGTCTGCATGTATTCGATTTATTAGCTGGTTTCATTGGTCCTGCAGTTTAATGCACTAGAAGCACATATATTTCACTTTGCATTTCAGAATAAAATATTGATTTGCTTTCTCCATTTCATTTTCTTCCACATTTCATTATTTGAGGCTTTGGTAGGTCCATAAACAAGGCTCAATCCAACACATTGGTGACACTCCTTAAAAATATAAACACAAAATAACTGGTCACCCTTACAGTTTCTACAGAGGGTTGGAACACATTGGTGACACTCCTTAAAAATATAAACACAAAATAACTGGTCACCCTTACAGTTTCTACAGAGGGTTGGAACACATTGGTGACACTCCTTAAAAATATAAACACAAAATAACTGGCCACCCTTACAGTTTCTACAGAGGGTTGGAACACATTGCATTACTACTTATGTTTTATCTGTACTCCCTCTTATGGGCCTGAAGTGGCAAAGACATGTAGTCTCATAGATTGTTTGTATTTAGATTACTAGCTTCAGCTTGATCAACATCAGTATTCAATAAATTGATAGCTAAATCAACATGTTTAGTCACTCTAATGAAATATGAGGCATCACAATGAATTAAACTACTCACAATGAATTTTTCAATACAATAACTTACAAGATCCTGTTGCATTGGCTTCAAACTTGAGAACTTGCTTGTCGAGTCTGTGTTGCCTTGACGATGAAGTGTACTGTGCCAACATCCCACGGGTCAGTGGGGTATTAGCTTCCACTGTGTCACAGCTGACCTCATTACACACACATACAAATGACCCTTTCCCATAGTCCTTCTTGGTACAAGGAGTTGGAGCTGAAATAGTGGAATGGAAACAATGTTATATCTTCTTTGATGGGCATTTTTAGAAGTTGAGGTGAACAGAATAAAGACTAAAGAAGTTGTATATCCATAAAATCAACATCAGTCTTCAATGTTATAGCTTTCTGAGTGAATAAGTTGATGTGTCATGGTATATATCATGCATAACAGTCACTTAATACTGAACAATAGAAACTTTAGCATGTTCAGATCAAGGTAATAGTTTAGTTTGGTTTGGCACACTCAGCAAATATTCCAGATATATGGCAGAGGTCTGTAAATAATCGAGTCTGGACCAGACATTCTAGTGATCAACAACATGAGCATCAATCTACGCAATTGGGATAAGATGACATGTGTCAACCAAGTCAGCAAGCTGACCACCCGATATCGTTAGTCGCCTCTTACAACAAGCACAGGTTACTGTACCAATTCTAACCCAGATCTTCACGGGTCCGATCAAGGTAATAGAAAAGTACACAAACATTGAAACAAAGAATGCAGTTCTGTTACCATGGTTACTTCGTAAACTTCCCCCAAACCTACTCAATAGGACCCAATTGCAGATAGGATATAATAATAATAATGAGTGAATTTGTAACGTGCCAAACTCCATGCCAGCCGGTATGCTCATGGCGCTACAAGTAAAGTTATTTGGGTGAGAGTCTAGACAAAGTACTTCTTAAATAAAAACGTTTTGAGGAGAGTTTTGAAGGAGAGCAGGCTTTGGGCTGTTTTGAGATCTTCAGGCAGAGAATTCCATAGAACGGCTGATTGGTAGGCAAATGATCTGAATCCAAATCGTTTTAGTCTGTATCTAGGCACTGTGCACAGAATTGGGGACTGGGATCTGAGAGTTCTGGTTGGATTATACTGGCTTACAAGTTTACACAAATAGGATGGTGTGATAGCGTTAAGGCAACTGGTATGCAAGTACAAGAACTTCAAACTCAATTGAGCTGGGCAGCCAGTGTAGGGATCGTAGAAGTGGCTGTATATGTGCAAACTTTGGAGCAAGACACACATTTCGGGCTGCAGTATTTTGTACTTTTTGTAGCTTTGAAACAGATTCTTGTGACACACCACACAGTAGGCTATTGCAATAGTCCAGGCGTGAGAATATCTGTGTTCGAACTAATGCAGATATATATGGACTCCAGTCTGTTTTCAAAGGATTGAGTACTCATTCATAAAACCTATTGCCAGAGTTGCCTCCCTTCATTTGTTTAAGTCATTGCACTTGTCAGCTTGTCAATATACCCATCATTATGCAAGCATGACTTAATAAACAATAACAAACTAATGCTTATGACATGAGATTTTTCCAGTTATGAAAACAGCTGTTCCTTCTATTCCCTGTGTGTTTATTTATTTCATGAATAAATCGTTTGTAATTAAACAACAATTAATAAGTAGTAATCTTAGGCTGACTTTTAGTTAGCACTTTCCTGTTCTTTACTGATAGTTAACATTATTGTTTACTAATCTTACACTTTTTAATGTATATTCATTCCCTCTATTTCCTTTACTATTTTGGTTTGATACTGCCAACGTGTTATTTCACAAATATTTCACTTTATACTTGGAAAAACAACTCATTGCTTAATTCTGAATATGCTCGTGAATACCACTACCCCATTTCACAATTGGTTTAATCTATCGATTTAATCGAATTTGGGGATCAATTTTCTGAACACACTATATCTTTACAAGGGAGAAAAATACTGGAAAGTAATTACCCAATGACACGACACAAACTAAATGTGCTACAAAGAAAACAATCAAAATCCTCATCTTGTTTACAGTTCAGAACTCGTGACTGTCATGTGATTCTGATAGTCTTTAACGAGAGTTATCCTTTATATTTTGCAATTTGTGTCCGCTAGGTGTCACTAATGAATTCGTATAGATTCGCAGCGACGTGCGCAACCGCCTGAGACATTGTCATGACACTTTTAAGGTAGACATACTCCCAGTCTACTTCAGTAACTGCTTATAACATGCATAAATAAGAGTTTGTCAAGCAAGGATTGTTTAATTTAGATATTATTGCCAACATTAATGTAATGACAAATGTTGGATTAGAAAATGCGTTCAAAAATTCAATTCAACTGTTCTTTCTGTTATGTGTTTATTTTGTTATAAGCATGTGTACATTTCATCACGTGACCGATAGCGGGCTTTCCAAACTGACAGGTGCCCTGAAATCGACAATGAAAAATTGAAACTGACATGACAACACTACAACTATTCAGAGTTCTTAATGATGGAAATTTGAAGTAAGAATTAACAGGCGTACCGCACTTTACCGGGCACCTCTTTTCAAGCATTTGTAAAGGTCTTTGTCTGTTCGTTTTCATCGAGAACAAAACATATGATATTGACCACATTATGATTAGGAACTGAAATCATAGGACTAAAACTCTGGACACGATCATGATGATGAACAGAGTAGTGAAGTAATTGTTGACTTTCAGAACCTTGATTGATCCCACTAAGCGATGCCGTATTAACAATCATAGTTCCGCAGTGACAACCATATATGTCATGAAACAATAAATTAATCAGTGAGATTGTCAACTCATGCACAGAATTTGAGAAACAGACGAAATAATTAATTATAAACGTGATAAAAAAGTATATTGTGGAAAGAATAGTAAGACTCTACATATTCAGTTTATTATCTAGGTATATATATCAGGAGAATTAGAAAGCAATGTTACTGAAACTGCTTGTGTGAACTTTTAGGAGTCAGTGCAGGTGAACCAAGGGTAAGAGTTCCCCCCGTTCCCCCATCCCAAATAATATTTACAAATTAATATATACTAAAATTATTAACAAAACTTAACACAACAATTACTAGAGAACTCCCAAAAGTGACTAAAAGTCCAAAATTTAAGTTAGGGTTAGGCTTAGGTTTAGAGTTAGGCTTAGGGTTGTGGGAACGGAAGGTACTCTTTCCGAACCAAGCCATAAGTGGTCAAATGATATGTGCCTTCAAATTCAATAATGGTAAGACAACACTTCCAAACATGCTAAATATCATTACTGTTACAGTTGATTTTCACTTTTCTGGATACTTGCGATTCCTCATATATTGTTTGGATAAACACATTTTTGGATATCTGAATCTCGTCAGTTGCCCCCATTACCCAAATTGTATGGAAGCAAAAACCTCTATAACATATTGCTAAAGATTTATTCAAGTATTTTCCAAATTCAAAATATAATGTACATCATACTCATACAAAGAATTCAGGTCAAAGAAAAAGTGATAAGAAATTTGGTTAATGAAAATAAAAAAGAAGTTTGCAATTAACTTTCATTAGACAAGTTGATTTACCATGTAATTATCACATAAACTAATCCAGAAATAGCAATCAGCAGTGCACATGTAATTGAAATTCATTAACCTTATTCGGAAATTTGATTTCCGAATAAATGAGACATTTTATGTAGCATTTAATTTGATTTATCCCCTCAGAAGATTAAGGTACCAATAATAATAGATAGAAATGCAGTTGTGTTTTATTCTCCTTTCATGACATTTATTTCCTACAAGACTGACTGACTAAGTTTTAGTTTTACCCTGCTTTTAGCAATATTCCAGCAATATCACGGCGGGAGACTCCAAAAATGGGTTTCACACATTGTGCCCCTGTGGGGAATCAAACCCGGGTCTTTGGCGTGACGAGCGAACGCTTTAACCACTAGGCTACCCCACCGGCCCGTTTCCTACAAGAGATATATATATATATATTCCATTGTTATAGACATGCCCGCCAACTGCTTGAGGATGGCGCTGACCCCAACCATGTGCTGGAGGAAGGAGGCGTGGCTGGCGTGGCCTCCATGCACATGGCAGCAGGACTCAGTGCAGAAGCACTCAGGCTGTTGTTAGAATATGATGGAGATCCAAATGTTAGGTAAATATCTCAAGGATTTTAGTTATTGTCGTTTTTAGAATTTTATATTAAATTATTTTCCAATTCTAACCCAGATCTTCGCAGGTCTGTTTTGTCATGAGCAGTATGATCAACCAATGTGTGACTTGACTGGATAAGAGTCGTATTGATCATACAGTTGTAGATGCTCACTGGTTTCAGGGGCCCAGATTTGATAATCTACAGACTATCATCATATGAATTAACTCACTTTTTCTGACCGTCTTGCGGATATGTGTATTGTGTGACTTCCCTGCTGTAGATCTATCGAGGGTCTGACGCCGCTGCACATTGCTGCTACATGGGGTGAGCTGGACAGTGTTAAAATACTTCTCTTTAATGGAGGCGACCCAAGTCTCAAGGATCAGGTATTGCATTTCATTCATCATGTTAACAGTCAAACATTTCTGTTGCCACGGAAACAATTTTCATACCGATCATTTTCATGTCGGGCGGAGTTTTAGTCATATTGAGGTGGTGTGCTTCGTCCTGTAACCTCTAATTATGATTCATGAATGGCCTGTCTGTGCAGGATGGGCTGCCAACTGTAGAGGGTGGAGCTTTAGCCATATTGAGGTGGTGTGCTTTGCCCTGTAACCTCTAGTTATCATTCATGAATGGCCTGTCTGTGCAGGACGGGCTGCGAGCTGTAGATGTCGGGCGGAGCTACAGTCATAGTGAGGTGGTGTGCTTCCTGGAATACTACTCTCTGCTGCTCATCCCGGAAGGGGAAGATGACACTGAGCTCAGATACACAAGTAAGGGCCCAGTTCTATTCATGAACACCATCTTGAGTAGTAGTGTAGTTTTTCCACACCTTCATCAGTATCAGTTTAGTTTTGTTCCCTTTAGCATCGGCTATACTGAAGGAGTATAGAGTTGAAGTACCTTCTTCTGTTTCAGGAGAGAGCCTTGATGCTGGGAGGGACAGCCTGTCCCGGAACACAACACCTGATGTCCTCAATCTGTCCTTCCAGGAGGACTGTTCCCCGGACCAGTCACTGACCACAGCTGCCCGTCGGTCAAGTGTCATTACAGCCCTACAGCAGAAACTTGACCGCTGTGTCCAGCATGGGGAACACTTCTGCATGGATGTCACTTCCCCCACGCATCCATATCTAGAAAGGAAGTCCGGAGCTACTAATGGACAGGAATTGTGCAGTGGGAAATGTGAGAGGGACTCAAAGTGGACCCCTAGGAAACGGCAGACGTGTGTGCATCAGGAGTCGAAACAGAGAACAAGTAGAGGACTGTTTGAGAGATATGGAGACAGATGTTGGAACTGTAATGAAGACAGGCATGAAGAGTATTGTGGGTATCATCGGAGAGGCAGACATTGTGGACATGATAACCATGTGTCTTTCACTGACAGTGATCCTGATTGCTGGGAGGGGGGTCGGGGGGATGAGGTGAGGGACAGGTTGAGAGACTTCCATAAATCCTGTGTGAGGATTAGAAAGCCTACTGCTAATAGTGGGTGTTTTCAAGATCACTGTAGCCAGTGTGATCAGACATTGTCAAGTAATTGTCATCATTGCAGCAAAAGTACCCCATATTGTCACAAAAATTCAAGACTGGGCATTAATTACTGTGACCATGGACATGAATGCAGAGATTGTCTCAGCAGGTCATATGACCACGGCCAATCCCAGAATGGTTATTATGGCTATGAAGGTTCAGCACAGAACACTGTCAAAAAAGATGCCAAAGAAGATACCCAGTGATCCAGTTGTCCCAAAATGGACACTACTGAAGGACAAGCAGGAGACATCAGCTGAAAAAGTTGGAAGATGGCAGACATCACTGAGCAGTGGCCTGCACAAACCACCTCATTGTGAAGTTGGATATAAATCTTCTTCCACTGATGATGCACATTTTAGTCCGTCCAGATTTATTCATTCCCCAAAACTGTCAGAAGTGAAAAGCCCAATGTCACAAAATTCATCACCTAATAGGTTCTTTCCACCCTTGTCTGATCATCAATACAACAGTTTCTCTCCAAGTGCAGTGTATGATGAGAGATCGACACAATCTGATGACTATGGAAACGGTATGTCATGGCAGGAGCAGTCTCCCAAATCTAGTTTGGGTTTTACACCTCAAACCAAATCTGGAACTGGTTCAAGAATCTACAGTGGCAATTCTAGATCCAGTCCTCATGCAGCTGCTCCCAGAACTCCAGAATCCAGATCCATCTGCAAGTCAGCTCCAAGAAGATCCAGCATGTACACCCAGAATATCCAGAGGGAGCTTGAGAAGCACCTGCAGGATGGCCACCGGGTGTGTTTGGATGTCACATCTCCAGGACATCCTTTTGTAGACTTCAAGTCTAAAGAACTGCAAAAACTGTCGGATGCCATGACGGTACTGTCACCTGTGGAGAGGGTCAGTCATGTCAGATCACCTGGAGGTGCTTCTCCTGGTGCTCAGGGTAAAAGACTCAGTACAGTCAGTACTGTGTCAGCATCTTCTTGTGACACATTTGTTACATGTGAAGATGACACAGAATTCACCCTTGTCACACCCTTAGATCCTACTGTCAGTGTGGATACTCAGTCATTCTCAAGTGGAACGTCCAAGGACAGCGTTGTGCTGAATGTGAAGGCAGTAGTGACTGATGAAAACAAGAGTGGTCCCAATGACAATTATGGAAGTTTTGGAATTAGTTGTAGTGTTTGTGATGATAAAGACAGATCCCAGTACAAAGTTGTCCTGACAGAGGAGTCCAAGAAGAGAGAGAGCAGCCCAACTACACTTCGACTTACTAGTCCGGTGAAACATAACCGTCATCCATCTCATCCTCTACTAGATGATGAACTGGACCTCACTACTGAAGTCAGACAGGGAAATGGCTGTAAAACTGCAGGTCCTGACAAATCCCCATGCAGAATGGCATCACAGAATAACAAAGCCATGGTACAAACTGATAGCAGAACCTTTAGTCCTAGCAAACACCATTGGCAGCACCCAGTTCCTGATAAAGTTCTTGATGTCAGTGATCTCATTACATCACATGATAGCTTCACTCAAAGGATAGAGAAGAAAACTAATAAAGCCGACAATATTAGTGGTAATGTAACTCCCAGACATTCTGGTAAGAAGGATCTGGCAGGCTGTTATTCAAAATGGCTTCCACCATCAGACATGAACCTACTGGATGAAACAGATCTGATTTCATCAGATGAAAGTTTTCAAATCCGTGAAAGGGAAAAGAAAGCCAAGGACAGTGACAGGATCACATCCCTAGTGGAAAAACTGAAAAAAGTTTCTGTGAACACAGGAATGCGAACCTCTCCATTGAAATCAGGAAAGAGGTCTCCAGTGAAGCCTGGAAACAAACGTGTGTCCATGGACAGCTTCTGCAGCAATGCTTCTGTCAGGGAGTACCTTTACAAGGACAAGGAGAAGGGGATAACACTGTTAGAGCGGTATGTTCCTTCAGAGTGTGAGGAGAGCAGCACCAGAGAATCCCTGGACAGCACCTGCAGCATCTTCACCATTAACTCCGAGGACACCGAGATCTATGACTGGCAGGACTATCAGTCTGACACAGATGATGGCAGGAAGGTGACTGGCCAGAAGATCAACCAACCCAAGAAGGATGGGGAACCAAAGAAGCCTCCTATCCCACAGCATCTGAGTCAGCTCTCTAACCAGGCTATACGCAAGAAACTGCTGAGTCTTGGTGATGATCCTGGTCCAGTGATGGCAACAACACGGCAGACCTACCTGGTCCGACTTGCAAGCTTGGAAGCTGATCCTACCAGAGCTCACATGATGAAGCTGACAGTTGATGGGCCAGGTTGGTGTTGAGATCCTTTGTTAATGATAAATTAATGATGAAAAGATATTGGGCAGAAGTATTTGGGATAACAAAAATCATATCATGGTGGGAAAGAATTTGTAATTCATTCTTAAGAACACTGTTTATGATTAATATATCAGAACTGTTTTTGTTTGTTGTGTTCATTTTTATACATAAGGGGACTGAACTAGTGTGTAAATAATGGCTGACCTGTCTTTCATCTTCAGAGTACTCCCCGGAACTTCGAGCAGCTCTACAGAACAATCTTGACTGTGAAGGGGTAGATGACCTGGAGGACAAGTTGGTTGCCTCCTTCCAGAACACTCAAGGTCGTATATGGCGGGAAGGGACTCTAAAGTCCTCATTTAACTACCTGTTGCTTGACCCAAGAGTGACCAAGAACCTGCCATATAGGGCCAAAACACTTGGTAAATATTCTGATTGGTGTCTGCAAGTCTTTGATAAGGAAAGTGTTGGCATGTACACACGTTTAAAGCAGGAAACAGTTCAGTATTACCAGTAATTATGGTTTCTTAACATAGCCAAAGTTTCCAATAAGATGCAGATGAAACAGTTCAATGAAAGCAAATTAGTTAGTGTAGAGGATGATATCTGGTGTTTGCTATACCTCATGCTCTGACTGAAACTATAATATGTCCCTAAAATATATCACATCGAAGCACAGTGCTCACTCTTCCTCCCTTCCTACCTTAATTCCCCCTCTCATTCACTCACTCTTTGAAACTATCCCATATTGATGATAAATTTGTTTCAGGTGAAGGTGAAACATTCAAGGCCTTCATCCATGCCATCTTCTATGTTGGGAAAGGCAAGAGAGCACGGCCATACTGCCACCTGTATGAAGCAATCTCTCACATGCAGAAACCCAAACCAAAGGTCAGTTGTTTCAGCAAATCTGTTCAGTATACTTCACATATTTTCACTACTTACTCAATATCTGCCTGGAAGGGAATCAGATATCATTGCTCTCTCTTGCTGCCATTAAACAGTTGGTCCCTTATTACTTGATCACTCAGAGGTTTGCAAAGATGTTTTTCCCATAATATTTCTTGAATATGTATCTCCTGGTGGCCACCATACCTGTATGTATATATTACCAGGTGAGCACCAAGGTGCAGCACATTATTGATATCTGGAATGAGGGTCTTGGAGTTGTCTCCCTTCACTGCTTCCAAAGTGTGATTCCGGTAGAGGCATACACCCGTGAAGCCTGCATGGTGGAGGCTATAGGTGAGTACTGGTAGTCATGATGTCACCAATCGTTGTCCCTCCTGTCATATTCTCTGTCATCTTTACTCTGAAACTCTAAGATCATCATCATAGTCAGAATGTTTTCCCCTTTTTTCTTTCCTTTGATTCAGGCAGTGGGGTAGCCTTGTAGTTAAATTGTTCGCTCGTCACGCTGAAGACCCGGGTTCGTTTCCCCACATGGGTACAATGTGTGAAGCCCATTTCTGCTGTCCCCCGCCATGATATTGCTGGAATATTGCTAAAAGCGGCGTAAAACCATACTCACTCACTCCCTTTCCTTTGTTTCATTAAAAATCAAAAAAGATTCTTGTGGGATTCTTGGAGATCTTTGCTTGATGTAAGAGACTACTAACAGGGTCAGGTTTCCAGGCTTTCTCACTTAGCTGATGCTTGTCATCGTATCCCTATCATCAATGTTTTCTTTGTCTGACAGGGTTGACCAAACTGACCAACATGAAGCGAGGGGACTATTACGGTGTAGCCTCAACTTGGCCACTGAAGACAAAGAGAAAGATGGGGGTCCATCTACTGAAGAAAGCTCTACAGATATTCCTGAGTGAAGGAGAAAGGCAGATATGTCCAGTGGACATAAAGGGGGGACAGTGACAATGACTTCGCTTTTGTCAACTGAATTTCATCACACCAGAGGTACTAACGGTCATGGAGCCTCGGGATTCATACCTGCTCAAGATTAAGTGATTGCACAGAGCGAACAGTATTGGAGCAATGACAATCAAGTAACTGTCTGTTTTGGCCATGTCTGATATTTGTTGCTCATCATATCAACCATCAGTTTGCCTGTCGTCTAACACACCACAGTTGTTGGTGCCCATATGGCATGGTAATATCCCACGATATTTACCTTATTTCCAAGGTTCACCTTGATCATAATTCTTGGTTATTCAGCACCATGCTTTAGCAAAGAGATAAACGTCCAAGACCTGCATTCTTTCCTACATTAGGACTGCATGCTACGATGTGAGTGAAAGCCAACTCACTCTCCTGATGAACCTCTACAGTCCTGCACACCCAGTAACTCATGGGTTTATCATGTTTATATCATGTATATATGTAACTCATACCAACTATCCCAGACGATTTAAAAGGGCTTTGTTTTAACTTTCAGTGCTTAATGACCTTTGTTGTAGATGTGTCCTAAACTTATGAGGAACATTGTACCATCAAAACTTAATGACTATGATTTTTGCAAGTCTATGCCTGTGTATAAGATTAGTCCTTCATAGATCTCCCAACTCCCTTGTGAACGGTGTCTGTAAGCTGAATCACAAGCCAATCCTATTGTCATTATGGTCACTTTGATTACTCGTGACTTTTCAGACAGTTCAACATAAAGTGAGTGAGTGAGTGAGTGAGTTTAGTTTACGCCGCACTCAGCAATATTCCAGCTATATGGCAGCGGTCTGTAAATAATCGAGTCTGGACCAGACAATCCAGTGATCAACAGCATGAGCATCGATCTGCGCAATTGGGAACCGATGACATTCAACATAAAGACATCCGGTGATAACTTATCTTACTTGTCTATATGTTATCAGTTGATTTTCTAATTTATGATAGACAATGGCCAAATAAGTTTGCATTCTGTTTTCTTTGGTATGTTGTAACTAGGATGTATGTTGTTAATATGTGAAAAACATATTATAACAGAAAATATTGATGATGTTTAGTGCTGGTACCTTGGACAGCATTGTGTCCAACTTGTTGAATGTACGGTTTGCTTCATGTTAATGTATCAAGGAGTTATTTGATATCTGAAATGATGACATACATGAAGTGTAATGTATGGAAGGTAGACTCTTGTGTTATGTATGCTTCATGTTGAAATGTCTATTTCCATAGTGTTTGACATGACAGTCCCAAACTTTGTTTCAATGTGTTACAGGCTGGAACTTGTTTCCATGCTTAGTACAAGCACAGGTCTGTGTGATTTCAGTGAGCTACAGCTGTGAGGGTTACAATGAAGGCAATAGCCTCAGCTGACTGTAACATAAACATCATAGAGCAGCAACTGTCTTAATTACAGATTATTTACTTATTCTAAGTTAGCCTTTTCAAAGTCTGAATTTAATACTTTAAAATATCAATACTTAAACATTTTTTATAAAAACGCAAATATTGAGACATAAAAATCTCTTTCTTAAGTATTATTTTATTGTAACATAAGGGAACACTGCATGTGAAACAAGAAACTGAATTGTTAGTTATTAATATAGTAGGCATCTTAAGAAACAAATCTTTGAATGAGGTGTAAACATACCTCTACTGTTTTATGGCTCCTTCAAATGAATGAGGGAGTATTTGGAAGTTAGCAAATGGCTGTATGAAGCATACGTTTGAGTGTTATTACAGGATATGGGTGAGATAGAAGGTAGTTGAGATAGTGAACCCTCTCTGTATTTAGGGGCCATTCATAATTTATGGCTAGGGGGGTGATGTTGATTTTGACAGGCAGTGATTGGGAGGTGTCACTTACTTTGTACCATACATACATTTTAGGGGTGGGGAGTCATTCACATTTTTCATGCTTCTCCATAAAATCATCATCAATGGGTTCATGGTATTTACGATACCAGATTCAACATAAATACATTGAGAAATAAGTATTTGTTCTTTCTAATGGAAATCCAAAGAGATTCTTTAAGGTAGACTAGACTAGACTTTGCAAAAATGATCTGATAGCATTACTTTTCAGAAATAGAGACATGAAAAACTGTATATTACTGTTTCATGATAAGGAGGCAAGTCACATATTTACTTTTATGTTTCAGATGATTAATGTTTTCAGCATGATCAGCATTTTGTTTTGTTTGTTTTATTGTTGTTATTTTTGTTAATGCATTGTTTATAAAGTTTGTTTAATGGCATCTGTCTAAACAGAAAATACGTCCACAAACCACATAATAACATGCACACTGCATGTCACTAATTCAGTACTCAATGTTTAATATGCATCTTTTGACAGTGTTGACAGATGATGAGCTGTGATTTAAATAGTAACACTGATTTTAACATACACTCTTTGAAAACAGAATGTACTATTTTTCCCTTTCATATCCATGTAGTCGTTATCAGGTAATAATCCTGCCACAATGAATATGGTGCATGTCATATCCTTGTACTCAGGTCAAAGTTTAACCTTGCAGTCATCCAATCATTCACAGTGGTTCACCTGTGAAACTTTTAAAACAAATTATGACAAAACAATGAACTAAAGAATATTATGGTTAGACTCTATAATTTTATAGATTCCTGAAATGCTTGAAACACGTTTTTTATTAGGTGCTTACAAAACAGTAATAACAGCAACAATAATAATATAAGTAACATATAATGAGTATGATGCTGTAATGAATTTGTCCTAAATGTTTACATAATTATGTCAATCATCATCCACATCTATACATATATTTTTTAACAGACCTATATACGGAAGAATTTGCACACATCATTTCATTTAAAATTTTATTTGGATTGCTCCTGTTGGTGTGTGCTGTATATTGCTCAATGCTATATTCATATTTTGGTAATAAATATTTTGAAGAATCAATTGTTTTTTCATGTTGTTGCATCAACACATGCATATCATTGCACCTGTAATCATTACTGGGTCATTCAGATTTACACATGATAGTGTTGGAACAGATGGCGATGAATGACAACACTAAGGCTTAAATTGACATAAAAATGGCCATCCTACAGAAAGGTTATTAGTCACAAAACATGTTGAATCTCACAATCTTTATCATTTTCTCAATTTTCTCCCACCTAAAAAATATTTTGAATATCTGAAGGAGAATTGGTGAAAAGAAATTAAACATTTATTTCTATAAAATCAAATCAGATTCGTATACAAAACCTCAGCAAAACGTTTTAGCTATTTTCCAAAAATTGTATTTTTAAAATCCATTTAAATGTAATGTCAAGTAACAAGTTGATTTCTCCCGCATTTGAAAAAAATGCAACAGACTGTCAAAGGGAGATAATATAGTGGGCCAGAGACGAGTTGCCTCCCTTGAAAGAATAGCGATAGAGGTGTTGATACAGGTGATTTCAGTTACACGAACTGGATGTGTAAAATTCGAGTGGATACACTCGAAATTGCTATCCCAGTTTATTTTCAAAGTGTCAGTTTAAGACATCGACACTTCCCACATATTTAAGACATGAAAGTGTGTTGAAGAAAATAAACCTGGAAATACCTGACGCCAAACAAACAGGGCCTAGATTTTCGAAGCTCTCTTAGCGCTAAGATAGTCGTAAGTTAATGTTATACTAAGATTGGTCAAAAAGGACCATATGATAGGGATGCGGTGAACTCGTGGACACAGTTTGTTTAAAACCGGGAATGAATTCGGAGACATGTTGTTTTTGTTGGAATTGAATGATAATAATAGAAAATACTATAAATAATATTGATACAGAAGAAATATTGACGTCTCTCTCATATTATAAATTATATGGTTTTAAGTTAACCTGCTCGGGCTACTGCTATGTGATATGTTTTGTTCTCATTAGCAAGGATCTAAATAACATCATGTCTTGTTGTAGAGTCTATCAAATTTTATCCAAACCACAGTGTAAGAAGAGAAATAAGAAATACTGTTTCTGCTCAAATTTCCATTTCATATAAAACATTTATACCGCAGAAGTGACAAAATAAAAAACTAGCACTGCACTACCATAGGCTTTATAAGTATGTTATACTGCAGTAGACCTCATTTGTTACTATCACAGTGGGGGCGGTGGGGTAGCCTAATGGTTAAAGCGTTGGCCCGTCACGCCGAAGACCCGGGTTCGAATCCCCACATGGGTACAATGTGTGAAGCCCATTTCTGGTGTCCCTCGCCGTGATGTTGCTGGAATATTGCTAAAAGCGGCGTAAAACCAAACTCAGTCAGTCAGTCAGTACTATCACAGTGTTTTTTACATTTAATTTTTTATGTCAATCTTTAGTTGTTGCCTCCACATTCATGGATTCCTCTATTTTTATGGACTATAAAAGGATTTGTATTGTTTTAAATAAAATAAAAAATGCATACAGTTAAATGTTGTCACACTTTGATCTTACATCTACGGTTGACTTCCTACTCTCTTTTACTTATTCTTTACCCTTTTCCCATTTTTGATAAGTTCCATGTACATGCTCATTGTGATGATATTCAAACTCCTAATGATACTTTTTTCAGAGAAATGTACATCCTCAAGATGTGGTGAAAGAAATGTGTTGTGGATACAGTTAGCAAGACTTTGCAGCAACAATGATCTCTCAGAATATCACCTTCTTGGCCTTCCTGTACTTTGTCCAGGGACTTCCTTATGGATTACAGACATGGTTCCTTCCTGTCTATTTCCGAAGTCGAGGAATGTCTCTATCAAATGTTGGATTCTTCAAACTTTTGTTGACACCATGGATGTGCAAAGCATTATGGGCACCGTTTGTTGATCGCTCCGCCACCAAGAAGTCTTGGCTACTCTGGAGCATGGTTGGACTGACCATAACTTGTGTGAGTGGTTCCTTCTCAGGCCCAGACTTCCTGTCTCAACTGGTGGCCATTTTGTTTTTATTCAATCTCCTCGCTTCCACTCAGGATATTGCTGTTGACGGCCTTGCTATCCAGATCTTGTCATCATCAGAGCTTGCCCATGGTAATATAGCCCAGGTAGTGGGTTACAAGATAGGTGCTGTAGTTGGAGGAGGCCTACTCACATGGTTGAGTGACTACTTGAACTGGATGATGCTCTTCCAGTGTCTTGCTGCTGTTTATGTTTTTGCAGTGTTTGCAGCATGGAAGTTTATTCCATCAAATCCACATCATTCCCATGAAGTTAACCAAACCGTTGATAGTGCCATCTCTGGAGAAATGTCTCATGAAACGAACACATGTGATATTGATAATGAACATTCAATGCAACAAAGATCTGTAAAGGTTGAGAAGAATGAAGGGAAAAGTGTATTCTTATTGATTATCGATCATTTCAAACTTATGATGATGCCAGAAGGAACAGTATGGATAGCAGTCTATGTCCTTATGTACAAGTTGGGTAAGTAAGCGTTTGTTTGTGTCATGTACGGTGAACCACTTAATATCAGGAAAATGTGAATAGTGTAAGTCAGATCATGGAAAATAACACAATGCATCTTCCCCCATCATTATATCTATTATTTTAATTATCTATTGCCTGCCATAATAAATATTTTCCATGTTGATTGTTTCTAGCACCATTGTATCATCAACATTTAAGTTATTTTGTCATTATATAGTTCACCATGTTCACTGTTACTGATTTTATCGATCATTGTCCATCTTTGCCTGACCACACTCTTCAGGCTGCATTCATTTTTTTAAATATCTCAATATTTCCTGTATACAAGGATGCATGTACCTATGACAAGTGAACGTTGTTATTGCAGGTGAGAAGGGGTCGCTAAGTATGATTCCCCTCTTCTTGCTGGACCAGGGCCTGGCGACCTCCGTGGTGGGACTCTGGACAGGCATGATGGGGCAGGTCGTATCCATCTCGGGTTCAATACTGGGTGGGGTCATCATGTCCAGATATGGGTAAGTAGCTTTGATCTTTGTTTCTCATTGTTTTATATATACATTTTTTTGTGGGCATGCGTGCGTGCATGTGTGTTTTTTCAGTGAGCAAATAATTCTATGGGGATAGAAACCATTTTTATACATCTGAGGTTATCACAAGAAGTCAGCTCCATTACTGTAGAGCCTCATTCTCCTTTTCAGCAACACAGGTGGCTTAGTTGTATATGCCAGAACCTTTGATCATGGGTTCAAATCCAAGTCAATGACATGATCCCCTCAAACAATACTGTTTCAACGTACTCATCCACATGGTCCTGTTTTCCAGCCAGTCTACCCTTGGCCTCCTGAAGACTCTGAGTATAATCCGGACCATCGTCCTCATTGTCCTTTGTGTCCTCATCTATGTGTGGTCCTCGACATACCAGGCTGTCTTTGCTGCTGCGGTCATAGGTGAGTTCTTGGGAATAGCCTTCTTAGATCAGGGGTTGCCTTATGTAATATTGAGGAAACTAAGTGGCACTGATCATATATGTTATCCAAAAATCAATTTCATTTAATAAATTCATTTGTTGAGACCAGCATGATAAGACAACTCATTTAAAGAACTGCTGTGTGTGCGGTATATGGCAAGAAGGATGTACTGACACCATTTTTGTGATGTTGATAACAGAAATTTGACCTTGCCAATTTAATATGGATTTCAAGTGGTCACCATGGCAGTTCAGTATAGCTAGTGGCCTTGTTTTACTCCATCACTAATGTTTTCTGCTCTTCAGCTCTGATGCTGATCATGCTCCTCATCAGCGGCTACATCACCACGGCAACCTTCACACTGATGATGGAGTGTTCCCAAAGGGCACCAGTATCTGTGCAGGCAAGCCACTACACCAGCCTGGCAACCCTGGAGGTGCTTGGCAAGCTGACTTTCTCCGTAATCACAGGGTGGATCACTGATATGACCAGCTACTCAAGTGTGTTTGTCCTGTTCACATGTCTTTCTGCTGCAATCATTCCTGTCTTCAGCTATGCACCCAGCATCCTTGTACAGAGCACTTCTCATAGGAGGAATAAAAGTCGATGATACTGAAAACCTGGATGCCTTGTTTTGCCAGTAGTTACCATTTACATTAAAACAGTGTTCACATGAAACTGCATAAATTTACAGAACAGATTTAACAATCCATTCCAGTTATTGTTATGACTCTGTCATTGCTATCACTAACATTCTGTCAGATGCTTTTTGTAATTTATACATATCCCCAGTAGCCATAATGAACTGTGTCATGAACAGTCTTCTAATTTGCAGATATGCACACAGCTTGTGAAGTACATACATGCTCACTATCATAGCATCATTTAGCTTTCATGTCAACTTACCCTTTGCCCAGCAAAAATTCTTTCTTACAGTGAATGACCGGTGATGTTGACCTTTCTTTGCTAACCTTTGAAATTGGCTGTGCAGAGTTACATCCCCTTGCCAGACAACTTCAGTTGTGGGCCAAAGACTCCCATCCTCTGGGTATGATGAGAATCAACAAGTTACCAACCTGCAATCTGGTTGCCTGTTACGACAACAACAGTGCTGTTTACCTGTTCCAACCCAGGTCCCCACCATGGGTCTTGGAGGAATACGACCCACACCAAGCTAATTTCATGTCATACATCAGGGATGCCTCGGCACCTCAACCACATCAGCAGCAGCAATGAGTGGTCCATGGAAAATTGTTACCTCCAACTTCCGCGGAGACATGTTCATGGATATATTCAATAACAATACTGTACAACAACAACCATTTAGTTATGACAAAACGATACTTTAATCAGTAGAACAATGACATGATTTTATCACAGCCTGTTGCTAGAACTTGTATCACAGTGTAGAAAACGGCAGGATGAATGAGTCACAACCACTAGCTTAACAAACAACATGGCAACAAGGGACTACTGTATTTTATGTCCATCACAGTCTTGATTGTCTAACTAATCCTGACATACCTGAAGGATTTCAACACTGTATATTCATAAGTTCATTCTTTATCAAACACTATAAATCCTTAAGATATTCATCAAAATCTTTATGTATGTCATGGTTACAAATAATTGGGTAGTCACAACTAATGTAAGAAAGAGACTTCTGTTCTATTTTTGGCATGTAACTAATGTAGTCCCTGTATGCTCGCGGGAAACTGTATTATCTGTCCATAACAACAGCAGTACCCATATGGCATAAACTGAGGTAATTAGAGAAATGATAATATCACATCTTGTCATTGTAATGTACTAGTGTAAGGTACTTTTACCATGTAAATGTTATATTAATGATTATATAATTAATGTTATGATGTTAAAACTTTCTTATCTTACAATAAAGTTTCTGTCCACCATATATATTGTCAACAAACTTTCAAATCTGAGCCGTATAATCCTAAGGTTTTTTATTATTTTTTATGATGCTGACTTACCAAATATTTGTCCAAATATTCAAAGGAATTCAGGGAGAAAAAAAAAGAAAATAATCTTCAACTTCCAAATTCGTTCTGCAAATAATAAAAGTACAACTGCCAAATGATACTGAAAGATAACTGATAGCTTTACTGTCGCAACAAGCATGTTAAATTTCAACTTCATTGCTCTTGTGGTTTAAGTGTGTGGAAATGTATTTTAGAGAATTTTGGAGAATGGTGAAAAGGTTTAATAAAAGAGAAAAATCAAACTATCGTGAAACACAAGTTGAGCTCCACTTCTGACTACACATATACCATATACCTCTCAGACCATGTGAGCGAAAAACTGTAAGATACACCTCTATATTCAAAATATTGTCACATGCAAATCTATGAATAAAAGTGAAATCACAGAATCCATGAACACCACTTCATACACTTGGCCCAATAATTAACACTGTGGGACTTTAGAATACTTAATTACACTTCAGTCATACCCCCTGACATGATTCATATTCAGGGATGAGAATAAAGTTTTGAGAAAAACCCGAGCCGAAGCTCCTGATATTTAGGCATTTTAAACCTTTAAAACTGGCTCAGAAATGACAATATCATGAACACAGGAACCAATAAAAAACTTTAAATCTGCTGAAGCACATTCATACAATTGTCAATGGATTTAGACGATTCACAAAAATTGGCCTTATTAAATTCCCGGAATTCTGCAGATCTGCGGAAAATTCTCATCCCTGCATATTGGAGGAAAATCCTTAGTCTGTGGGTGATGACAACAGCTGTACAAATGTTGGTGAATCACTGTCATTAAGTGAGATATTGTGCATGTGCCTCAATTAACATGCTCCAATGATTGATGTACACTTACATAACAATAAAATTCCAAGTAACAACATTGAGATTCACTTGCAAAGTGGATTGAACTTTTCAGCCTTGGCTGTTTTCCTAGAGAATCCAGTCCTCAAACATACAAGTCAGACAACAATTATTTTGATTTTCTTTCGAGCGTATTGTACAGATTGTTTGTTGTGTAGCACCACACTCCCACAGTCAAGCTGAAACACAGTGATCAATAAATCCTCGAGTTTGGACCAGACAATTCAGGATCGTTCCATAAAATCACCCAAAGTGTAATAGTTGTAAACAGTACAGAAACTCAACGCGACAATGAAATGATAGAAACACTGTAACAAGTGAGAGTAATGTGGAGATAAGTTCCAATTTCCATGAATCTACTAAAATCAGGTAAGGCTTAATTTTACATGACAAGTTCTGTTATCAAACATCTTTAGAACAGATTATTGTATTATAGTATTGTCTCTCTTTTTTGTTTCTTTTAACATTTGCAATTGCTTTCGACTCAAATATACAGCAAGAGGTCTGTACCAATTAAGAGTCACTTATATCTGCCAGTTCGTTATAAGCATGGTATAAACATTGTTTAGAGTATGCTCATCCATTCCCAATTTGTATGCATAGAGTGTTGCAACATTTTTCTGGTTGAACCCTGTTGGTTCCATACAGTCATGCACTTTATCAAACCTTGGGCTACATAACATTCACTATCTGCATGGTATTCAAGAATAAGAAAGAAAATGAAAATTAATTTTCCCAGCTCAAAAAATAAAACCCTCATGTTTTTATTGGCCAAAACTTTAAACTTACCCCAAAACAATTTTGGATTATGTTTTTGCCCCATATAAACTTCACAAATTGCCAAAAATAAAATACTTTAGAATTTAAAAGGAACATTATTTTGACCAGTGATTTATATTTTTTTTTTTTTTCCCTCCTGCCTTTAGGTTTTCTGAGGACAAAATCTGTAAAACAAGGAATAAAATTGGTCTGGCTTTAAAATGAAAAATAGTTTCTAGTTTCGTATTAACATTTTGCCTATAAAAATAAGTCAATTTATTTTGGGTAATGAGGTAATGTATGATTCCTGCACATATTTGGCCTTGGATCTAAACTCATACACCTTTGGTTAACTGGCATACAACTGTAATGAAACAGTAACAAAGTGTCTCGAGAGAGAGATTAGTGAGCTTCTAGTAGACAAATTGGAAATTGTGAAAGTGGTAAAACAGAAATGAAGGCATCAGCACACATTCTAGGAATACTGTAATAAATAATCCCTGGATGTTTACACACAATGATAAATAAGTTAAGCTCACTCTTAGCTAAGATCCACATGGGAACATGATTGCATGTTAAGTAGTCAATGACAGGGAACATTGGATAGAGTTCAGCACAAATATTCCTATACGAGCCTCCAAATGGTTAATTTTACCATCACATAAATGCAGAATAAGACTGCCTAAAGAAATAAATTGCAAAATAAATTCAGAATATAATAGATTTTAGATTTTTTCAGCAAAGGTTTAATAAATAGTTTGACAATGCCCTGGCAAAAGATCAACTATAAATACAGAACATATCAGCTTCTAAACATAAAATGAAACCATTTAACCTTCACAAAAATTGAAGGTTCCATACATTCTGAAAACAAAGGTGAAAAAACGTGTTGATATTCAAAATAAGTGAGACAATGAGCCAAAACCACTGAAGTATACTAGTAATTAAACCTATTTACACTTCCACTAGCACAATCAACAATAACAGGTCACAAATTCTTACAAAATAGAACCAACAAGAATAGAGATCTCAAAAATGTCATAGCACTTTGTGTTAAACATGTTACAAAACAACAAGTTAAAAAATATTTGGAAACACTTATGTGTTCTGAAGTGTAGTGAGTGAGTTTAGTTTTACACCACTCTCCGCAATATTCCAGCTATATAGCGGCTGTCTGTAAATAATCGAGTCTGGACCAGACAATCCAGTGATCAACAGCATGAGCATCGATCTATGCAAATGGGAACCAATGACATGTGTCAACCAAGTCAGCGAGCCTTGCCACCCATAGGGGGATCCAGAGCGGGGTTAGTGTGGGTTTTTTTTGCACCTTTGTCCTGAAAGATTTTTAAATGACCATTGAAACTCTCGTGAAAATGAAGTGTGTACCCCTCCTTTCTCAATAGTGTGCAATTGTAATTCTTTCTTTAGTAGGACTGTATCACCTGTTCTGGAAATGACGAAGATGCAACATTTGCGGTGCTTGAAGGATTTGTATAACATTTGCAAGGACTTTTGTGATGAGAATGCCTGTCAAGTTGAGACCCTGAGGTGTTGGTACCTACAACAATTGTTGGTCTCACACTGAGGGTGCTGCTGGCACCTGTATACAGATACTGATAGGACTGACCCAGTCAATAACACAGACTATACCTTCAACACATAGAGCTTTGTACGACTCATGTCAGTGCCAGTATTTTCCCAGATATCATTATTTGCTTCAATTGTTTTGTGAATGGGAAGAAATGACCAATGTACTCATCAATGTGCAAGAAATAATTTGCACGTCTTTTTATTTCATCTAGTATCAATTTCCTTTAAGTTTGTATTTAATATTAAACACAGATAGTCATCCGTTGAGCACACTTGCCATCCATGACATCACCGTTTAATGTGTACACCCCAAGCTCCACACAACAATATTTCCTTCTCTACCAAACTTGCAATGTATATACATTACACACTGCCATGGAGCCTTCCTTCACTGCTAGCTGTCTTCAGATGAGTGTTGATGATGTTTAGAGACATATACTTGAAGCAATGTTTTCTGAAGAATCCAGAAATTCCAGCTGGGATTTTCCATTTTATCCATGTACCCTCAGCTTATTTGCACAGGATAGGATGATAAATTTCATATTTAAGTACATTTTTTCCAATAACAAAAACAACCAAAATTCATAAAACATGGAAATCTTATCTTGTACAAATAACAGTCTTTGAAGTCAGTAAACAAGGAATATGCAGATCAGTCAGTGATTCTTGAATTATCAGCTCACAGAAACAAGTCTAAATGAAGCTTCAAATTTAAGAATACATCCACAATGTACTGTCACAACACTAATTTGGCAACCTCTTGAATTTTCTTGTCTCGATATAGAGAAGCTGTGAAGCATCATCTCATGACTTTGCTATGTTGGCCCCCTCGAGTTGACCGTGCTGACTTGGCAGACCGCTGAGACATTCGACTCATGGCCTGCTGTTCACGTGCCGGGCTGCTCTCCTCCACAAACTGGGATGACTGATGAAGGAAATCCTTGATGAACTGATTGACTTCCGATGGAGCCTCTATCATCACCATGTGGCTAGCATCCTCAATGACCTCCAGTCTGGACTGGTAGATTGCCTGAAACAGTCAGGAGTTGCTGGAGTGAAAGCAGGACCTTGGCTAACACAGAAGCCTCCTTGACTACACCAGCTAGATGGAACATCAGGTTGTATTGTCCATGCAGAACATGAACATTACATATCTCACCGAAGAAACTGACTGAACCATCAAAATGATCATTGGGTTTTTTAAATACCATTTTCAAACTACTAAAAATGCCACAATACTGCAGCTTGCCTGGCTTTGTAGTCAAATGTCATCAAAGACAAAGAAAATGTTTTTTATAAATGTCAAAAATTACTATGGGTTCTGTGTTTTGGGACTTATACAGACAATATACAGAGTTCAATTTCCTTTACATAATGTTTACCTTCAGAACCTTGTTTACCTTCTAAGGAGAATTTGTTTTCTAAAAACATAGTACTGTTCGAAATAGCTCACAAAATACACACTGAAGTGTTAATGATTTGAACAAAATATGACACCAGCATAACAGCTTCACCATCTTCATGTAACTTGCTAATGAAACAAATTTGACACAATAGTTCTGTTTAGCATAATTCCATTTCAAACGTTGACATGGTAAAGAATAATGAGTCCACGGTATTTATCAAACTGGGACACATAGTTATATCCCACTGGGCAATCAAGTATGACAAAATAAGTGGATGAATGAATATGGCTTTACACCACTTCAAGCCACACAATACATGTAAATGGTGGGACATATGAAATGGGTTGCAAACATTGTATCCATAAAGGGAATCGACCCAAAACCTAGGCAAGTGAACACTTTAACCCAGATAATCCTGTTAGAAACTAGACTACCAAACTGCCCCTCGTGATGGAATGTGAGATGACCCACCTCCTCCATGTCCTTCTCCTCCCTGAGGGACACCAGCTGGTCCTTAAGGCCATAGATGAGGAGTGTGGGACACATCAGCCAGTTGTGGAACAGCTCGTCCCCATCCGGCCAAATCTGCCCATTCATTGTGTGACGTAAGACATATGTGGGGATTGCAAATGCTTCCTCTGGTGAAATGACTGGCCTCCTGGTTGATGCAAATGCACTCCTGAAACGAGTATATTGCAAGAACATTACAGGATAAGATGATTCAGAGGTATTGAATTACATTCTGATGACGAGGGAGGTGAAACTGCTCTAGGTTCTGATTAAATAAAGTTAACATGAATACTGTAAGCATGGCGAAGTACATATATGTCAATAAAAAAATATATGTGTATATTCATGACACTGATGCATGAAAAAGAATGTAAATACTGTCAATGAATTCGGGAATTCTATGTTCGGGAATAAAGTAACTGGTTAATAATTATCATAATGTTAAGTAATAAATGATTTGTCGCCAAGACATCTTGTTAAGTGACAGGATTGTGGAAACTAAATTTGAGTCTGAATCTGAAATACCATAATTGTGTTGTAACTAGCTTACAATCTTTCACTATCAGTGTAAGGAATGAATGCTGCATGATACTGTAGAGTCAATGATGGTTGACAGGTGAAGTTCAAAGAATGAAATGACTTTCACCCATGTACAAAACTTACTTTTTAAAGGTACACTCTACACATGGTCTGACACAGCACAGAACACACACAGGGAGGGAGAAGATGCCAGGCTGGGGGTTGAGAGGGGTGGGCCCCCCCCCACTGATCATCACAAGCTTGGTCACACGTCGCGACCGTTTCCGACCGAGTACAGCAGCAAATGAACATCTGCAACCAAAGTGACAGTGAGAGCAAAACCTGACATCTAAAAACATTTTTTTGCACATTTACATTTTTGGCCAATAAAAATATTAAAATCTTATTTTTTGAGTGGAGAAAATTAATTCTTTTTCATTATCAATCTTGAAAAAATATGACCGGCGGATCCGTAAAACAAGAAATAAAATTGTTCTGGCCTTATGTACATTTGAACTATTTTCACTCATTGTGAAATTATGTCTGAAATACCAGTATCACTATGACAGAATAAAATCAAAATCAGCTGAAATATAAACATACTGGTTATTCATAACCGCCATTTGAATACCGGTATATAAATAAAATTCTTAAAAACAATAAGCATAAATATTTATCTCACCCATATGAATGACCAATAACAATGTTCTTTCTCTTGCAGTATCTATCAAACATCTCTTCCATGTCAGCCATGATTTCATCAAAGTGATACGCCCTTGCATTGTTTGGAGTAGAACTAAACCCATGTCCTATGAGGTCCGGGGCAATGATCTCATAGCCCTCATTAGCAAAATACTCTAGCTGAGGCATCCATATATCGCTGGACCCCCCTACACCATGTATGAAGAACAGCACACAGTCAGTACTGGTGGTTTTGTCCTGGACTTCTTTTGATTTTTGCTCAATTTCTACAGCAGGTATTTCTAGAGCAACTGGCTTTGCAGTCTCTTCAGCCAATGGATGATGATTGTCTCCCTGATAGGGTTGCTTCCTATCAACAGCCACCATGACACTTGAAGCAGATCTCACTGCATTCTGATATAAAGGGGAACTGCAAGAGAAAGTTGACTCTTTGGATTGCATCCCTGAAATTCCATTTTGAATTGGTGACAAAATACTGGCAGTGGCAGGTGTTTCCGATGTATTTATGGTATTTGGCAAGATGTCACTATGCGGCCCACCTGGCCTATCGGAGACAACCCTCCTCTTTGGTGCTGTCAGAGGACCACTGGTCACAAGACTGGACGGATAGCCCTGACGTCTGTACATTAAATAGGTGTCCATTTCAGTTTGAAATTTTTCATCTCTGGGAACTTGGTTGATGTGCCGGATTCTTAAATGTCGCTTTGGTCTGATTTCCACCAGGTGGTATTCCGATTCTGTTCCCGGGGCTGGAGAAATCTTGTTGGGCCTCCGGCAACAGCAACCTCCCCCTCCTGTCATGGTGATATAGAGGCGGGTCTCACTGTGTCAGTCCAATCTCCACCTGGTACATGTGACAGCCTGTATAACAACAAAAGAAATCCATAGTATTCTCCAGGGTTTTAAGTAATAATCACACTCCAGCATTCCAGCTATAAGACAGCAGTCTGCAAATAATAAAGTCATAACCAGACAATCCAGTGATTGACATCATGAGCATCTCTTTATACAATTGGGATACAATGGCATGCATCAACCCAGAGGCCCAGATAAGCTGCGTATCCGGGTAAAATATGCATAGAATTACGCATTGAAAAATAATTGTTGCGTACCAATTACGCATTTAAAATGTTAGATACGCGAAAAGTTTAAAACAAATGCGTACGGAATATATTCATAAAAATCGCTTGCGTAATGAAAAAGGCATCGATCGCTATCAAGTTGTACTGTTAGTATAGGACAAGTGTTGTACTGTCAGTAAAGGATGAGTGATTTTTTATGAAATAATTTCCATTATATTTAAGTTGGTTTTGATTAGGTATGACATAAGGCAGAACATACCTGCTTAGTAAACTTACTCAATGACATAATACTTATCTGAATAAAGTGACTGAAATACGCACATATATGAAAGCAGTGGGTAACGGAAAATGAAATACCCACTCAACATTCACAATACCCACTCCAAAAAAATACAATGGGTACAGTACCCACATGAGCTCAATCTTATCTGGAGCTCTGATCAACCCACCTTTTTATGGACATGATAAGTCATTAAGCGAGCATGGCTTATTCTGCATAATCAATAGTGTAGGGTTAATAAATGTTGGAAGTCTGGTTCCAGACTCTGCTATAAGTTACACCAATATTGTAGACATTGTTTATAGGCTGTGAGTGCTCACATTCACAATAGACAATACCATCATGTTAAGTTATGAACAGATTCTCAAACAACTCAATACAATAATGTAAATTTAAACCTCTTCCTTAATTTTGGTTCTTGGTATCAGTGAAATACAAGTCACCTCAATGAAGACATCACACAAGCATAATGAGCTGTCACAAAATTTACTTGAAATAGGAACTTTGTGATTCCCATTTTTTGCAGTTCCAAGCAAGTGTAGATAAATCCCTGCATAAATAACCATGGCAATCAGAAAATAGTTTGTTCTCCAGTATAATGTGGATTAAGTATTTATCCCATATTAAAGTATATGAAGATCCCATCATTATTAATATCAATAGATGTATGTGAAGTTGACTAAGCTAAGGATATAATTCTGCCTGTAGTCATTAATTATGATTGTCAATAACTATCATTCTAGGGGGAATTTATGAGGATGTCTTAATCACACTTGCTGGGGTTGCACTTGAGTTGGCTTGTTATGATGATAGTCATGTTAACTTGTCAGCTTAGATATTACTAAGAGTAGCTATTCTTGTGGCCAGTAATTAAGAAATGAGAAGAACAGAGATAGATAACAGTTTGAGTCAAATCCAAATGTTGTATATATAGGCAGTGTATAAACTAGTTTTGAAATGTGGCCTGTCCAAGGACTTGCTGTCCAAAAAAGTGACCAGTCCTGAACAAACACTGCCAGTCCCCAAAACTAAAACAATAACAAAATCAACAAATGTTGAAACGAAAATGAGTAAGAACATGATTGCTAAGACGAAGTTCAAACCAAGTTAAGTTTATATTTTTCAAATATTTCTCCCAACCAAAGGACGGCCTTACTTATTTCATAGACCGTCCTTCAGAAACATAGACCGTCATGGACGGTGGTAGGGGCTATATTTTATACACTGATATAGGTTCCTCTAATACAGTGTGGCAGTCAGGTAATAGAATGGTCAATGTTTTATTAATCACACCAAACTGGTATCTGATACATGCAGTGATATTCCTGTGTTTATATTTTTGTGAAGATTTAAAATTTTGTATTAAGTGCAATTTTTACAAGGCCATGTTGAAATACAGATCATAGGTTTGGCAAGATACCATAGTAATGGCAAGATATTTGTAAGGATGAAAACATATTCATTGTATTTCAGTATAGATTCTCCTACTATTCTTCCAAGCAAGAGTGAAGTAATACAACACAGAAATGACTTATATATATTAAACTGGAAAGAACAACATGAACATATACCTTATAGAGATAAACAACAACAACAACAACAACATCACATTGGTTGACAGTAACAACTAGGGTTGGGTACCACGAAAATTTCAGTACCATGGTATACCAAGGTTTTTGTTCAAGTACCATGGTATTTACCACGGTATACTGTGCTGCAGTAACTAACTACTAACTAATGAATCCAATTGTCTTGTTTAATGATTTTGAATGAATTGGGCCATGAAGTAATGTCATAACTATAATAAACAAGTATGAAAAATACAAAAGTGTTTTAGACTTTTCTGGGAATTTCAGTCATCACAACAGGAAACTTCCCCCAGAAGAAGAAATCTGAAAATTTCAAAACTGAGCTCACTGACAAGTTCAACAACTCAAACATTATGAACAAAATAAACAATCTTGTTAATTCCAATAAGTCAACGACATTAAGCTACCATAACTTAACTTACATGCAATATCACAAAAATCACACTGACTAGAAATATTACAAGATTCACAGTGAGCAATGAGATTCTTGAATTCAACATTATTCAGGTATTAAATTACTAGGAGTGCAAGTTTTAGTTTGCAAAAACACTCATCACTAGTCATCATTCATCAGTCATCACAAAAAGGAAACTGAGATGATATACTTCAAAAAATTCCATATGAAACTGAAAATTTCAAAACTGAACAACAAATTAACAACAAATCTGTTAATCATCAATGCCATTGCCAGTACTTTTCGTCCGAGTATTTTCTTCATTCAATCTACCAATGGATAACGGCATTTTAAAGAAACCATATAAAGAAAAACTAGTGACATCACAAATTTTGCTAACAAATATCTTTGTGAAGAGAAATAGAAAATGGAAACACCATGGTTTTCCGGTTATCCAGTAAAACCGCCCATCTCTAGTAACATATACTAACAACAAAACGAAGTCAACTGTGTACAAATATACAGTGCTGACAACATTAGACTGACTGACTGAGTATGGTTTTACGCCACTTTTAGCAATATTCCAGCAACATCACGGCGTGGGACACGAGAAATGGGCTTCACACATTGTACCCATGTGGGGATTCAAACCCGGGTCTTCGGTGTGAGACAAGATTAGAGATGATGAGAGAAATGTTCTGTTGTTTTATCATTATGGTACTGATGAGGACACTATCCTTTACCTGTGTTGGTTAATAATCTATATGGATAATAGAATATAAAAGTTGTCATCCATAAACTATATCTTGCCCTTTCTGTTACTTACCAACTTCTAAATAAAAGCAATAAAAGAGGTCATAGATTAGCTAGGTCGATTGCTACAAACAGTTTATTTTTAAAGTGCTGTATATTACTGTAATCGTACATATTTTCACGGGGTGCAATTTTCGCGGAAAGTTCACAAAAGACCTATTAGTGCAGTAGTTTTTTCGAGCATTTCAAACGCCTTAGTGGTGTCCATCACAAAGTTTTCACAACCCATAGACATGCAATGATCATGAATGCCATAATTGAATCGTGTTTACTAAAACAATCAGAGAGATGTGGGACTATACTTGTGTCCACATTGTGATTTGTGACTGATGTAAGTGAGTTTCGTTCATTTTGTGATTACGAGTAATCAGCTATCAATTAACTGGCAAACTGATAAACATTTGCTGATTGTGATCGCTATTACTAGTAGACTAGTATATACCTCTATTCCTTTGCATATTGTTTTGATGTTGTTATCTGGGAGAATAAACAAATTGCATGTTGTTCCTACTTGAGTATTTGTCATGACTTGACCATGAATATTTCGCTTGGTATGAATTATTGACGCTAAAAGCGCAAAAATTAATCCCATGCGAAAATAACTACGATTACAGTATATTAACTGAAAAGCACATGTTTCTGGTCCTACCTACAAACTACTTCATTTAGCCCTTACAGCAAGCTTTTCAAAGTCAACAAGCAATAATCAGATTTTCTGCTGCTAGGACTTCTTTGCACAGTCCTGCAGGTCAATCATCACGCCTCATCTGAGTAAGCTGAGTGTCAGACAATGGTCACACAAATCATGCTGATTCAGCTACCATAATGACCACATATTCATACTTATACTTCAGCCTATTTCAGGACAGAGGACTTCAATGATGGATAATAAGATGGAACATATCTGCCTAGCACTTGGGACTTATTAATTTAATTTACCATCACTGCTGGTCTCCTTGTCCTTGTATTTATTACTGTTAGGCCTGGCTTCCATTTGTTTTCTTACCACCCTGTTATATGCCACTATTGTTACCTCATCAACTAAGCCTGGATAAACAATCCCTGGCTCCCTTTGTCCATCCACCCAGTTAGTGCTAATTATACCACACACACACACACACACACACACACACACACACACACACACACAGACACCTGGGCTGCTATTTGTCTTCCTTATCAATCATGCCTGGAGTAACAATCCCTGGCTTCCACTTGTCCATCCACCAATTAACTACTGGCTTCCTTTGTTATACTGTTGTTTCAACATGTACATATATAGCTGTTTGCTCCTAATTGTTTCATTCACCTGATGAAGGAGTAAGAACATACTTCGAAACGTCGTGACCCTTCACAATAAAGAAGTTGTCATCCATAAAACTCTTTTCTTTAATAAGAATGACAGCAAAAAGGCTCCTCTTCAAAACATCTATCATGCTTATGTCATAATTTGATCATTATCAATGAAATAAAAATACACATAGGGTTTTATTAGATTAAATTATAACAGCATTTTCTTATTTGAAGTCACACTATTATATACAGACTATAGGACAAATGATATGTAACACTGCAAAAGAAATACTTTGTACAATTTGCCACTTTTGGGTCAATAACATCAATTCAGAAGATAGTTCACCAATTCCATCTGTGACATAATTTTAAGCTCA